TCTCACAATACGTCAAAATGACCCTCTGACTCCCCTACACCCTCCACATACTCCGTTGTGTGTACGCCCTACTCCACTGCACAACGTTGGGTGAAAGAGGATGGACGGCTCTGCCCGACCACAACCTCGGCCACACATAGATCGCTCGCTGCAGGAACCAGATCTTGACCTCGCGTTGGGCCATACACGTAGTTGTTTGTGTTGTGTGGGGATGAGGGTGTGTTCCCCACACACGTCTTAATTCGCGGGCTGTCCATACACACACGGGAACATGGACACAACAGATATCTTTTACCGCCGTCCTGGCGGGTAGTGCAACAATCTGACTGATGAAGTGACTCTAGTGTCCCATGTGTGGCTCAACCTGCTTTTTCGGATCGCACAGCGCGTGATCTGAGCAGATCTGATAGGGCAGATCGTTATTGGTCGCCAGCTCACCCACCCACGCGGCCATCTTCTGCGGCCACGTAAGATACTATTCTATTCCTAGCCGTAAGCTATCAAACGGCTTGGGCAGCTCGTCCCCGCCCGCCAATGGCGTTAGCTATGTCTTCACTCTCACACCGCACTTTCTACGCGAATGTCGCTCTGCGCTCCTACTATAGTGTATTAACCAGCCCCATGTTCGGGAGTCCGACGCCGAAATGTGTATCACCAAGTTCACCTCCTGATGCGATAGATACCCGCTATTGGACGGACAAGCAATCATAACAGCGCGAACTTTTCTGAGCTTCCGCCCTGGATATGTGAAACAGCACCTCGTCCCCCTTGGGGGATGAATCAATGAGAATGATCACCGGGGTGGGAGGGCGCATCAACACCGAAAGGGAATGCTCCCCGGCAGGATGGCATGGTTAACACGAGTTTACCTTGGTAGCGTGACGGGGGAAACAGCAGAATCATACATAGGACATGCGGGTTGATCAGGAGAGTCCAAGTTGGCGCTTTACCGAACGACACTCATTCGGTACTCCGTGTCATTGAATGCTCTCGGCTCCTTGCCAGCGTGTTTGTCCTGCCGTGCCTGCCGACTGGATGAGCACACGGACGGGATAAACCTTCCGCAACATCCCCCACCATCGGCGCGATCGGGGTAGCGCCAGGGGTTGCACAATACAACCTCACTCGACAGAGAACGGACGCAGCTAGGATCCAACCGGGGAAACAAAGACAAGCCTAAACAACAAGTTGCCAGGTGACGAACAGCCAGCCGGGTCTAGAGCTCGCATGACATGGTCCATGACCGAGAACATACGAGAGGAGAAGACCTTTGTCTGCCGGTCGTGGGGGGTCAGCTTCTGAAACAGAGAGCTTCTGTGTTTCAGAGATGCTCTGGTTGATCAGGCGGGAGATACCCACCTGCCGGATAAGATGCTTTGCATAAGGAATCTGTCGGGCGGTGACGCCAGCCCACCAGCGCAAACAGCCATACTTGAGTTTTCGCATCATCGATTCTAGAAGTGAGTGTGAACGCAGATCAACACACACGGCCCCCGCATGGACGGCGTAGAGGGCGCGGAGCTTGCCGTAAGTAAGCCTTGCAAAGTTGAGAAGACACAGCCTTGTCGTCTTCCACAATGCGCCGCCGGGGAGGATTGAAGAGCAGAGAGTATTATGTAACGGGAGAACCGATGTCAACGCGAAGGTGGCCACAGCCCCTGCGGCTTCCTTTCCTTTTTAGCGGAGCAAAGACCCGAAGAGCCTCCGTCGATCCCGGCCGAAAAAGCCGCCGGCAAAGGAGACGGACGGACGGACGGACGGGGCTGGCCAGCTTTGACAAATGCATGACGCGATACCGAGTACACACGCGAACGGGGAACTCGCCGGGGCAAGCTTCTGCTCTCCTAGCCCAGCTGACTTCGTGTCCAAACGCCGCACACTCTTGCCGAGTCGTTGTTGCCAAGGAATGGGCTTTGGCCCAAAGAGAGGAAGACGACGAAGAAGTGGAGTGAGGGACCCCTGGACCCTTGTCAACAGTGCAGCGCTGAGCTATTTCTGAAGCATGTTTCAGACCCGACCAGGGTGGGTTGAAAAGGCACACCAAAATGCTGTGGCTGGAGCTGTGGACGACACCGCCCGCCCGCGCCAACGCCAGCGTTCGGTACCTGACCCGACCTTCCCAGTCTGGGATGTTGGGGGGGTCGAAGCGGCACAGTTTCGTGGGACCGTTCTTTCGCTCACAGCCAGGCTGAGGCCAAGCGGGGAGCGGGATCGAAAAGTGAGCGACGGGTCAAAGAGGATGGGCTCCGTTCAATCCATCAACTCCACCGCCGGTAAGGCACTCACGCACTGAAGAATCGATCTCCCCGAGCGCTACCTGACGGTGGAGATGGCGAAGTGGTTTGTGGATCGGGAATGGAGGCACGAGATGACCAGGCACGCCTAACTCGGTCCGTCGTGCGCGAAAATGGAGTTGTCAACTGGGGAAGCACTAGGCAAAAACAATGATGAAGCGGAGCACGCGGGAAAAAAGCTGTTGGTTCTGGTCGATGCGTGCTCTTCCAAGATCTCTCAGATCTCACTTACCCTCAACCACTGCTTCGGGCCGCAGCTCTGCCGCGCTGGTTGGTCCCCTCTGCCATGATTTCCACTTGTGGTAACAAATCTGTCCGTCGTCCCCGGGGGGATACGCTTCTGAGATCTCCAACTGCGCCGCTTTTGTCACGCGCAATTGACCGTGACCGGCAAACGGCTAGAACACCGATGTCCCACGAAAACATGGAATAAGACACTGGGACGGGGAAAGCAATCTTTCCTCCACGCCGCATTCGCCGTCTCACAAACCCTCTGGCTTGCAGAAAATTGCAACGCTACATTGGCGGTTCTGCCCGGTTGCGAAGCCCCAATCAGGAAACGGGGAGAATGAGCCCTCAGGTATCCCATTCGTTTTCCTGAACGGAGGAGTGCTGCGCGGTGCTCACTCTCTCCCAAAAGAAAGCCGCGAGATATTTTTATGAACAGCCAATTTCCCGTCATCAGGACAATAATAAGGTTCGGTCGGGCCCAAAGGTACGACCTGCGGCCTGTAATCAAGGCCGCAAAAGCAGGCCCGTCTCGGTTACGTTCTTTCCAGAGCGCTTCCACAAGACGGTGCGCTCATGGCCAGTGCTTTTGTCGACAGGAGAAGCAGAAACAGAAAACAAAGGTGTATTGGCTCGAAGACCCCGGCGCTGGGCGCCACAGAGTGGGAGGTTATCCAATCACGGCTGCACACACCAACAGCATAATGTAGCGGACTGACCCGCAGCGCGTCAACTGAAGCCTGAGGTCAGTCGGACGAGGCGCCCAAGGAAAACGAAGAGAAAATAGAACCACGAGGGGTTGCCCGTAGGGGAAGAGTGAGCGGAGGGGAGACTGAGCGAGGAATTTCGAATGGCCTTGGAGAAGTGAGGTTGATGTGTGTGTCGTTTGCATGCCAGCATGTACAATTCTTGCTCCCTGTGCAATGCGATGCCCTCCACGGCCACGCCACCCATCGTCCCCCATCGCCTCGCAGTAACGAAAAAAGACTTTCAATCTTGCCATCGGTGGAGCGACACCAAGCGGGTAATGCAGGAGAGGCGAAAGTTTGCTGGGTGCCAGGGAGTCCCATCTGTCACTCTGCTTCTCTGCTTGAGTGGTGTCATGGCGCCAGCAGAGGATCCCGTCGTGCATGGATGGATGGGTACGTTTTGCCCGTCGCGGCTTCCCACTGGGGAGACCCCATGAACAACAGGAGATCATCGAGTCGTCGCTACGCTGCGAACTCCACCCCAACGGTTTGTTCCTTGCCTCCGGCTGCAATGCATTCTCCGTCAAACCCCACGACCTCCCGAATCTCGGAGCGGGAGATCTTTGGGCGGCGTGGAGTTGTGCAGGTTCGGGTGTTGGGCGAAAGCGCCAGCTGATGATTTGTGGACACCGGGGTGGCTGGCCCTTCCCACTTTGCGGCTTGCAGACTTCTCTGGCGCAGACAGGACTGGCTCAAGGTCTGTGCTTCCATTTGCAGACCCCTGCGGTGCCTCCTTCCTCCACTTTTGCACAGCAGAGCAGTTAAGGGGATCCGCTTTCTATGGCCCGGTCACTCTCAGCCATTGGCTCATGCCGCTGGGAATCCCTGAGCCAGGCAAAGTCATTAAACCCCCCCAGGGCCGCCCACTTGCTCGCCCTTCTGGTCCATCTCGCGATCCTCTTTCCAAGCCTCCCCTTCATCCCCCTCTCTTTCCCCTTCGCTGGATCCCGTCGCAGGAGGCTACCCGACTTTTCTCTCTCCTGCAACAACGTGCACTGTGTCTCTTAGTACACTTGCATTACCAGCTGTTCATTTTTATTTTCTTATTCTCCCGATCAAACGTCCCAGAGGCCAAGTCACCTCGTCGCCTTGCAGCCGTCTTCTCGCCTGAGTGCAAGCGCTCCTGGTCAAGCATCCGACAATTCACGTCGCAGCCCATCGCCCACCGCCACCACCACCTTGACGAGCGGCTCGTTGTGCCTGTTTGATAGACGTCGATACCTGGGTATCTGCTAATCGGTTTCGTTTCATTGCACCAATTGTTTCCCCACCGATTTTAATCGACTTGCGCGAGTTGCAACCGACACTCGCCCGCCGTGCAGACGTCGTCGCTTGCATCGCCCTGTAGTGTCAAAGACTTGGGTCGCGTCCTCGAAACAAGCCGTCTCTTTGCTCCGCTTTCCTACACCGCACTAGTCGGCTTATATCATACGCTGCCGGTGTCCCCCAACTCGCTTGAGGCAAATTGGGGAGAGGATTGAAAAGAAGGGCTGGAAGTGTTCTCTCCTATGTTACGGGCTGGCCTCGAAAATAAAACGACACCGAAAACCGAAGTCGCAGTTGTTCCCGGGCAGCGCCTGAGAACAAGAAACGCCTCCCTGCCTTGCTGGGTTCCAAGGTCGCATATCAATAGGGTTGGCTTCCGAGCGTCTCACGACCGTTAAAACCCCCATCACCAGCGTGCTCTACGCTTCTTCGCCAACGATCCACAAGCTGCGACTGTTGCGCAATGTTTTCGCAGCAGAGCGCGAGTATGGCGTCGCAACAGATTCCAGAGACGTTCATGCTGAGCGCCGAGGCTCAGCAGTCGCTTCCACAGGACGCTCAGGTAGCGCTGCAACAAGTAGACAATCGTGAGTGCTGGCCTCCGAGCGAGCTCAGGCGCGCCATTGCTAACCCTGTCCATAGTCAAGTATTTTCTCCTCTCGGCCCCAGTTGATTGGACGGCCGATCAATACATTCGGCGTTTCCTTCTTCCCACCGGCGAGTACGTGTCCTGCGTGCTGTGGAACAACCTCTTCCACATCTCGGGTACAGACATTGTAAGATGTCTGTCGTTCCGCTTCCAAGCCTTCGGCCGGCCGGTGAAGAATTCCAAGAAGTTTGAGGAAGGCATCTTCTCCGACCTGCGCAATTTGAAGTCGGGGACAGACGCAACGCTCGAGGAACCGAAAAGCGCCTTTCTTGATTTCTTGTACAAGAACAACTGCATCCGTACACAGAAGAAGCAGAAGGTTTTCTACTGGTACAGCGTACCCCACGATCGGCTTTTCCTGGACGCCCTAGAGCGGGACCTGAAGAGGGAGAAGATGGGCCAAGAAGCGACAACATGCGCCGTCAGCGAGCCGGCGTTGTCCTTCCAGTTCGATTCGTCGCAGTCTTTGTATGAGCAGCTTACAAAGGCCCAGCAAGCCAACTCGTCCTCGTTCAACCCGCAGCCGGTGTCTTTTTCCCAGCAGCAAAACACCTCCCCGGTGATGGCTCCGATCGACTCGATGCCTCCTCCGCAGATGATGCACCAGCCGATCCCCCAACACGTCCCTCAACACGTCTCCCAGCAGCTCCCTCAGCAAGTTCCCCAACAGGTACCTCAGCAGATTCCGCAGCAGATTCCACAGTCGGTTCCCCCGATGCCGCAATCGATGGCCCCGTTAGCGGATGGACTAGAGAACATGGCAGCGCCCTACGGGACTATGACCATGCCGACGAGCATCGCGACATCCCAACCTGTGATCAAGCGGGAGCCTGACTTTGCCCGGGTTCAGTACAACCAGAATGGCGTCCCGATGGCCCAGACCCACCAACGCCACACCTCGATGCCGGCATTTGGTTTGGAGTACTCGCCTGCGCCCTCCTTCGTCTCGTCCCACTACGAGGATTACAGCCAAAGGGGTCTTTCCTTTGAGCCCCTGACCCCCCCTCAGCAATCCCTCGGTATTGGTGGCGAGCCCGCCTACATCGCCAACGAAGAGACCGGTCTCTACAGTGCCATTCCCGATCACGTCAACCCCGTCGGCGCCCTGAACGGAATGATCCACCTTCCACCGTCGAACTTGGCTGGCCCTTCGTTCCAACGGAGTTACGGGTCCAACAATGTCTACTCCTCTGTCATCGAAGGTTCGCCGACCTATAAGCAAAGAAGACGCCGTTCATCTATTCCTCCTTCACTGTCTGCTAACACTGCTGCTCTCGCGGCAGCGACTTCTGGCAGCCACCGGCCCTCCGATCTCAAGAGATCAGTGTCGGCCTCGGTTGGCCCCGTTCCCGAGGGGGAAGAGTCCGGAGACACTTCGCCGCCTGGTCTGACGTACGGCAACCCGGCCCTGCAACAGCATAAGGAGGTTCTCGAGCTGTCACGGCACGGGACCCCTCTGTCCACGGTGGAAGGCAGCCCCGCGCTCAACCCGATGGCGCTCCATCAACACGACTACTCTCCACTCCCCGGTGATGAGTTGGGCCCACTAAACGACTCGCGGCCGCTCATGCACGGTGGTCCCAGCGGCGCGGTACGCCGGGCCCGGTCCGCAACCGTCATGGAAATCGGTCCCTATCCTCAGAAGTCTCACACTTGCCCCATCCCCTCGTGCGGCCGCCTCTTCAAGAGATTGGAGCACCTGAAGCGGTAAGATTTTGAAACGCAACATTTCATTTGTGAAACGAAACCATGCGAGTGCCTGCGATGCATATCTAACCAAAACCTTCTAGACACGTGAGGACACACACACAAGAAAGACCCTACACCTGTCCTTATTGTAGCAAGGCTTTCTCCCGATCAGACAACCTAGCACAGTATGCTCCCTATTTTTCCTTGGTGTATCATTTCCTTTTTTGTCAGTCGACAGTTGGGAAGTTTGAGTAAACATGTTGCACAAGTGGCACGCCAAGAGCAGCTCACGGGAAGAAAAACCATAACCCAATTCTGCAGACACTACCGATTTCCACAACACAACACATACAGAACACACGTCCCACCCATGACCATGGGAACGCAGACACTGACAAGCTGTGTTTCTACAGGCATAAGCGGACTCACGATCGCAATGATGGCGCTGAGGGCAGCTTCAACTCGGGCGAGGAGGAGGAGCAGTACTCGGGCGAAGACCAACTGTCCTCGATTGACGACGCCTCGCCAACATCGGAAGGCGGTTACATTGCTGGCTCGCTTGACGCGGCTGTCAGTGGTAACAACAACCCGACGTCAAATCCCGCGCCGACCTCGAACCAAAGTCTCGGGCAAACGCAAACGTTCAACAGCCTGCAGACGCTGAGCATGCCCATGACGATGAGCCAGCCTCATGCTATCAACACAAGTGGCTTGGCCTAATTCTGGAACACCACCGATACGACTACAGAGCACGAATCGGATCTATATCGCGACCCTTGGTTTTATTTTTTCGGGATGTGTATCCTTGACTTTATTGGACACTTCCTACCGCATCACTGCGTTGAAACGCATCGCCAACGACATGGCTTGTTGGCTCATTTGTTGTTGCCGACTGGCATCCATTCAATCTCTTGAGAGAGATGTACCGATGTCACATTTTCTTTTGGTTTTTTTTATGTCTGCATTGCAACTGTCCGAAAAAGATGGATTTATGCTAGAAGACAGGGGTGTGTGGGTGGATGGATTGACAAGAAGAGCCAGATGTTGGGTTTTGTTATTGTTGGAAAATGGAGGGAGTTCCGTGGGTTGGATGGACTAGGTATTGGGCGGCACTGGGAGGGACATGAGCCGACGAGGAAGAGGAGGGAAGACAGGCCCTGTCTTTGTACATATACAGCTTTCGTCTTCTTCCTGGCCTCTTTGTTTTCGTTGTTGTCACCATTTCCCGCCTTTTCTTTTTCTTTAACACTTCATCTTTATTTTGTCGTTATTGCCCTGGTTTAGCTATCAGGGGGCAGGGGCGCACTAGACGCGCCCCTCCCTGCGTTGCCGTGCTGGTGCCGGAGAAAGCATCAGATACCTGAGTGTGATGAAGCAATTAAAAAAGCTTTTTCCTCAAAAGTTGTGCTCTTAGTGATGATGTCCTGTGTGTCGTTGTGGAGGTGGCTTTACTCATAACTTCGCAAGTTGATGTTCCCGATCTGAGATCAGGTTCAGAACTACTTGGACCCTGAAACATAGGGAGGTCGTCGCCCTTTCACTTTTTCTACACTTTCGCTGCCTTCAAACTCAATCAACGAGATATCCCCCTTCGACAGTTCCCCTATCTCTTATCTATGTCATAACTTGACGCACTCGCCTCGCCTCTTTCCGACAAAGAAAATAAGCACAGTAAACTAAACTGCATATGCATTCTGTTAATTACAAATAGTTCTAGTCTAAACCCACCTAGGACTCCTCCCGTAAAATATCTGAGAAAATGGTCGGATCTGATACAAAGCTGTATTAAATATCCTGGGTCAAAGATATTTTTACGTTTCGGCCTTACACAATCGACGCTGGCAAGGAAGTAAGCAGCTCGCGACATGACACCTAAGTGCGCGTTGGTATGCGTATGTGTGCGTATGCCTTCCGTGCCGGGGTACGATGTAATCTTCTCCGTCTCTTCCGCCTGCAGCCTTACTTACCCGTACATCATAAGCACGGCGTCTACGGATACTCCCATGCATATTCGTACAATACATACGCACCTGCACTTAAACCCTGTTCTCTGCTTTGCGCTCTCCAAACAGGCTCCTGTCCTTGCTTGCCCTTGATCGTATCCCGTCAAACCCAGTTTCTACCTGCTGTAGGTAGGTAACCTTGGTAGCCTTGCATCACGCACCTCCAAAGGGGGAAAACGTGTACGACCAACTGGCATCAAAAATGCCCCGACAACCATCTCATCGGTCGTCATGTACGGTGCCTCTCTCCTGCATATCCGCCCTCGCAAATAATCACCCAGTATCTGTTTCCTGGGCCATCCATGTTTCTGTTACCGCGCCGTCTCTGTGCCGGTCTGTGCCGTCTGTGCGGGACAGCACGCAAGGTATGTACATAGATACATACATACACGTGTAGGGACATAAGATTCCCACACACACACACACACCGAGCTTAGTTCACCGATCGGGATCGGGATCGGGATCGGGAATCCGGATCAAAATCGAAATCGGGCTGACTGAGTGAGAGAGGGCTAGGCTAGGCAGATATTGGGAGGGGGGCTGAAAGGGGAAGGAGAGAGGGTTATACAGAGAGGGGAGGTTGCTGAGGCCGGGCGGGCTGCCTGCGGGCTTGGTTACATAGTAACGACCTACTTAGAAGCCTGTGGTTACCACGGCCTACCTAGAACAGGGGCACTGGATCGGCCGGTTTGCGTCACCTGGGTTGTGCAACTTGAGGTAGGTAGGTAGATAAGTTGGTTATACGGGTGGATGAGTACAAGGTAGAACAGAACTCACACATGACTTGCGGCTCGTGTGCTGGTGGGAGGGAGGTTGTGTGTGGTTGGGATCGATCGGTTTGTACATTTGATGACACGCGGGCCGCTTTCTTCTTTTTCTGGGCCGGTCACAGGCACAAGTACCGACACGAGCACAAACACGAGCCGCATGGCCAGGAGATGGACATGTAACAGGGAAATGACGGGATTCTACCCCTACAATGTGTTGTTGATGTGTTGTTGTTGCGCTGCCGGAGAGTGGGCCGAGCGACCCAAATTATCACCAAAACGGCGCTCCTTCCTCCATCAAGTTACACCACACAACTAAGGGGGATTAGCTGCTTGGGATGATATCGAGGTAGCACAGAAGACGTGACGTAAATGATAATCATTATTTTGTGTATTACAGTTCCGTGGCCCGTTACTAGGCCATGAGGGCTCCATCGGGCCGGCTGACAGGCTAGATGGCCCAAGGCGTCAGCCTTCTGCCTGACGTATTTCTACCGAACATGGTATTATCTTTCGGATTGCTTGTTTGTGACCATGACACTTTGCTTTATTCCTGAACCCGGAAATTAGGTAGGCCAGGAACCCGCTGTACAACAACGGCCCGGGGGTGCGTTTGTCAAATAATGCGAAGAGTATCTTCGTTCCCTTCTCCAATATTTCGTTCCCCACACGCTACCCAATACCAGGCTGCTGACTATCATGTCGTGCATACGCACCTCGTCATCGGCAAGCGAAAGGCCGCAGGGCGGCCCGGCGGCCCATGGCCCAGGCCTACCGAGTAGAATTAAGGTTAGGCGGGAATGACGGGCTCCTAGGTCGATCGACAGCCTGGCCCCAGGAAAATTGCGCAGAGAGGCCGGGATACGACAGGCAGGGGTATGCCTGGCCGGGGGAAATGGCGAAGTCGATGTTTCAGATTCCTCCCAAGGGCCTGGTGGGCATCTGGGAGGGCCCGGACGCTGCGGGACCGAGGCGGGGATGGGAGCATTGCCGTCGATGGTGAAGGATTAGTCGTCCGTTCCCTTCCCCAACAGGACCAGGCTACTTTCCAGGAAATACCGCAGAAGGAATACTCCTTTTGCGGAGGTAAGCGGAAGAGGAGGGAAAGTGGACGAGGAAGAAAGATATCTCTCATCCCAAGTCCGGGCTCGAGTCGTAGGCAGCGAGCAGGGTAAGGAGGTAAACTGTGGTGTGGATAAACAGAACGGTGGTGTTATCTCCTCCGCTTGCGTGCTTTGCCGGCTGGCCCTCTCACCGACGCGGCAATAGCGCGCGCCTCTCTGGCGCTGACTCGTAACTCGGCGCCTCTCATCCTGCCCACCGCAGGTGCATCGACCGGCCGGTTACCCTTCCCCTTCTTTTGCGCGGCGGCCGTCTTGGGCTTCTTGACCTCCCGCTCGAGGATAATACCATTCTCACGGGCTTCTCGTCTGCGCTTGCTCTCCTTGGCCACTGCCGCGCCCGTAATCCCCTTGCGCATGGCCATGGGCATCTTGGCCTGGCTGAGGACACTCTCCTTGGCACCCAGGGCCTGCACGCGCATGTCGGTGGTCTTGCGCGCAGTGCGGCCAGCGGCGAAGGCGCGCACGTTGGTGGCGGCGCCGGCGGCGTGTTGGGACTGCCAGTGGGACGGGTTGGCACCGGCCGCGGAAAGGATGTGGGACTCAGAAATGAGCCGCTGCAGGGCCAGGTCGTTGGCCAGGAACGCGGCGCTGTCTTCGGGCTGCTGATCGCCGTCGGTTGAGGGCTTTTTGCTGTTGGGGGCGGACTGTGCCGCTTGGAGGCTGTGGTCGGGCGGGCGCGAGGACTGGGGCAGGTAAGGAAGAAAGGAAGTGTCTTGTCAGCAAAGAAGACCTTGGCAGAACAAATCGGAAGAATTAGATGGGCACAGCGCGGGGCATACGAGGTAAGCTTTGAGCTCTCGCTTGCTCATTGACGCCGCTGCGTTCGATGTGGATGATGTGTGGTCGACGACCTCTACAACGGGCGTCTCGTCCGTTTCCTCATCATCTGACACCCCTCCCCATTCCGAGTCGGATTGATCCTCGTCACTGTCATCACCGTCATCCCCACTGCTATTGCCATCAATCTCCTCAAGGTCCCCGCTGTCGGGATCGCTGTCGGGATCGCTATGGGCCTTGCGGCTGTTGGTCTTGGTTGTCTTTGTCTTTGTCGTGGCGCGTGCGGCACCAGCCAATGGCTTGAATCGCGCCTCAAAGTGCCGTCGGAGGAGCTCCTGCGCATCGACCGCAGCCTCGGGGGTCTCCACGGGCCGTGATTTTCGCTTTCCAGGGACGGTCGGCATGGCGCGCGGGGTGGTTGGGAACCGGGTAGAAGGATGCCGTCGGTCGGATGTTATCTCGGGCTTCGAAGCTGTCGGGGACGGATTCGAAAAATAAAAATTAATCCCAGAACCTCAATGGCCAGGGGTGTTTCTTATCTTATCGCCCTGCAGCTTTCATGCCAAGACTGCTCCTCCAAGGTCGACGACGGGCTTGAACATGGATTCCTTAAAAAGTGGCAGGACACCTGCTGTAAAGAGGCCCCTTTTGATGTAACTTCTACCGTGTACCTTAATAGTACATATCTGGCGGGGTAATTAGTGTTGGCGCGGGACCGAGGCGTATACGGGAGGTGATGCACAAAGTCGATATATGTGAAGGGACAGTACCTCGCACTGGCATTGAATGCACCACAAACGAATGGAAGCCGAAGGCACAGTATCCAATGCAGCTTCAATTACACCGTGGGGCTCATATGGCGTCGAGGCCCTGGATATCAGAGTTCCGTTCGACCCAGTCCTTAATTTAAAAACTTTTCTACATCGCTCACCAAAATTGAATGGGATACCTCGAGGATACATCTCTTCATAGTAGCAAGCAGCAATCTCTGTATATAATTACGTCAGCGCCAAGGAAGAAGTGGACCAATTCACACGCTAACGCTAATTACCCTGGCTCGCGAGGTCAAGGTATAGTTGTTGTATTGCTCGCTGAACCAAAACACCATAATTCACGTCATGAAACTCAAAACATCAAATACTTCTCCCACAATTACAACCACAATACACAACACAATATGACCCGCTTCCGCCCCTGCATTGACCTGCACGCGGGGCAAGTCAAGCAGATCGTCGGCGGAACCCTCGACAGCAAGACCAGCGAGCTGCAGACCAATTTTGTCTCACCGCACTCGCCGGCCCACTTTGCGCGCCTGTACCGCAAATATGCCCTCGCCGGCGCCCATGTTATCATGCTCGGTCCGGGGAACGGTGATGCCACGCGTGAGTCGTTGGATGCTTGGCCCGGGGGTTTGCAAGTCGGCGGGGGGATTAATAAAGACAACGCGAAGGGGTGGATTGAAGCTGGGGCTCAGAGTGTGGGTTTACTATTCTACTCCAATGATTCGAAGTTTATTTCACCTCCTTGTTCTTGAAGTCTGTCTTGATAATAGAAAATCTCGAGCGCCTACTGACACTCCCAAAAGGTCATCATCACATCCTACCTCTTTCCCAACGGGACCTTCTCACAGCCCCGTCTCGATGCTGTGCTGGACGCACTCGACGGCGACAAGGCCAAGCTTGTCATCGACCTAAGCTGTCGACGACATGGCGGCGAAGAGAGGTGGTTCGTCGCTATGAACAAATGGCAAACCATCACCGATATGGAGGTCAACCAAAGTACGTATTCATTACCCTGTCCCCAACAGACACACAAATGTTTCTAACAAAAACTCACAGAATCCATCCGCCTCCTCGAACCGTATTGTTCCGAGTTCCTCATCCACGCCGCCGACAACGAAGGCCTCCAGCGCGGCATCGACGAGGCCCTGGTCACCAAACTCGCCCAATGGTGCAGCATCCCCGTGACCTACGCCGGCGGCGGACGGAACCTAGCCGACTTGGACCGCGTCAAGGAACTGAGCGGTGGGAAGGTGGACCTGACGATTGGGAGTGCGCTGGACTGTTTTGGTGGTAAGGGCGTGAAGTTGGTGGAGTGTGTGGCGTGGAATCGACTGCAGGAAAGGGAGGAAAGGAAGAAGGAGGCGTTGAAGTCGGCGTGGGTACTGTTGTTTCTATTGTCGTTGCCGCTGTTGTTGATGGTTGCGTACAGCCTTTGGAAGGATGGCTACGAAGTTTATTGCCTACAAGCGGTGAAGACTTGGGAGAGTCAAAAGATAAAGTTTTGGGATGCTTGGGAAAAATGGACGGAAAAATGGACGATCTAGTTGGAAAAGTATATATTTCTGGGTACATATTTATGGCGGGACATCGCTACATACGATCTTTGCAAATACACTCAATTTGGTGATGATTTCTATTATTCCCTTCACCCAACATGTTTACAACACTTGCTACACACACAAGGAGGGTTAGTGATAGAGCGTAACATTGACTCCCATTACAAGCTTACATAGACACATCATGCATTAAGAATAAGTCAAAATCACAAACGCTTTGCTTAAACCTAGACTGACTGACACATAATCACATAATAAAAATGATGACAAGACAAATAGATGGGGAAAATTGGTGTCGGCCCACCCTCAGTTCAAGGGCTGACGGACAAAGGAAGGTGAAGAAGGGAAGAAGAATCATGGACAAAGGAAAATAAAAAAAGACAGAAAAATAGAAGAGAATAGAAGAGGAAAAGGAAAACATGAGTGAGCGACGAATATGAGAAGGAGAGGAAGACGGTTACTAACCGCTCAACTCTCAGGACCGCGTATTGCCAATATGCTCCTTCTTCCCAACATCCATCCACGGTATCCATCCATCCATCCAGCCAGCCTGACCCAATCGATCAACCAACCAACCCCATACTCCAAACACACGATTACCCAGTTGTTCTTCCCTACCTTCCCCTTCCCTCTCACCATGCTATCCTACTGCAGCAACACCACAGCCAACTAAGCAACCAACTTGCCCCCTGACATCATCATCATCCATCCCATCATCATAAAAGCAAACAAGACAAAATCACACACACTCGCGCACGCCGTCACTCACCCTCCCCCCTTACACATACATACTCTTAGTACGAGAATGCACCCTCCTCCCCTCAGCCCTCTTTTTGAGCGTATCCTCCCGCTTCAGCACCAGCTCACACCACTTCCCCTTCATCCGGCTGCCACTGACCGAATTCCCATTCAACTCCTCCAGCGAGCCGCCACCCGCCAGGCTCTCGCGTCCAATGACCTCGCCCAATACGCGCATCCAGCCTTCCTTGTCCTCCGTTGAGTCGGCATAGAAATCAATCACCTCGCCATTGTTAAAGCGAATCCGGAACCCTTCCTCGACAAACATGTAGCCCTCTTCCTCCTCAGCGAAGGCTGACCGTCTGCGCCGGCCGCCCCGGCCGGTAGTTTCCTTCTCCATCAACGATCGCTTGTCGTCAATGAGCCGCTTGGCGTTGGCGAGGTTGATCGTCGCGCGCGGCTGGCGCGTGGCTTCGTGGTAGGCCGTCAGCTTGGTGCCGACTAGCTTGAAGTAGCGCCGACGCCAGTAGGGGCAGTCGCCGCCTTGCTGCGAGAGGTGGCCCTCCCAGCAGCGCGCGAGACGCTCCTCGGCGGCCTTCATCTCGCGGATGCACGAGTTCATGCTCTTGGGCATGTCCTCATCGGTGGCGCCCTTAGCGCGCGGGACGAAAAGTAGCTGCAGCTCCAGCTTGCCAATCTTGTATGGGGCACGACGCATCACACCCGCACCGCCGGCACTGCTGATGGTGTTGTTTTGGGTGTTGCTGCCTCCACCGGTGAGATGGGCGTTGGAGGTGCTGCCGGTGGGGTGGTGACCGCCGCGCTTGCTCTTGATGCTGGACGCAAACGCGGGCTCCTCGGTCGCCCACTCGTTGAAGGCGGCCACGTCGACGAGGTACGGCCGGCCAAAGCAGCGCGGCTCGTGCTCCTTGAGACAAACATACGCACGCGCGAAGCTGCCGTCCTCGGCGGCCAGCGGGCTCAACAGCTCCCAAGCAGTCGGCTGCTGCGAAGCCTTGAGCATCATCTGCCGGGCCTGCGCCTCGCGTTGCGCAGCGAGACGCTCCTCTTCCTCCTGCTGCTTTTGGCGCTGCTCCATCTCACGACGCTTCTTGGGGGAAGCAAACACACGGCTGAAGGCCGAAGTCTTGGGCTTCGACGTCTTGGTGGGCGAGGGGAGCGCCTTCTTGTTAGTGGGCGAAGGGGCAGGCTTCTCCAACTTGACATTCAGGGTCAACTGGAACTCGAGATCATTGGGCACGACGAGCTCAAACTCTTGGCCGATGGGCGCGTTGCGCGCGAGTTCAAGCCAGGCGGTCGTCACACAATGAACACCGTTGTCCAACGTAAGGCTGAACCAAGTACGTTCATCTGCTGCTGTTAGCATCTCAAATCCTACCGGGATACGTGCATATGTGTGTTAACCTACTCTTGGGAATTGGCAAATCGAGATCCTTGACGCCCATCACCTTGACGAAGAGCCGGCCGCGTTCGCCGCTCTCCTCGGTCGCCATCTCGACGGCCATGTCCTCCTCGTTGACCTGGCCGAGCGTCGCGGCATTGCTCTCCTGTCCAGGGAGGGGGGGCACGGGGCCGTTAGTAAGCTGCCTCTTACGGATGCTGCGCTTCCGCTGGCCGTTGCTCCACGGCTCGACGGTCCACGACTGCGGCCGGGCGGCCTTGACAGGCGAGTTACCCGCCGATCGGGAGCCACGGACGTCTTCGGAGTCCTTGTCGCTGGCCGTGACCATCTTGGTGTTCTGGCGCATTAGGTAGCCGCGCTGTTTACGTTGTGCTATGTTAGTATTACTAAGGTCGCCTGTGGTTGCTGTGAGGGGTAGATCTTGGGGCGGTGCAACTTTGCCTTCCGCTTGGAAGAAACTCGCCGCAGTCGCAGAGGGCGCAACAGAAGGAACTAGGTTAAACGCAACCTTTTGGGCTTCAATGACCCTGTCAAAGTCCTGATCCAGGCTGAGGCCCAGGTCCAGGTCGAGCGTCAGGCTGCGTTTCTTAAAGCTAGGATGACGCTCGAGGAAGTCACCGGTCACCTCGCCAATCTCGGCCTCCATATCGCGCGAGATCCGGTTACGGTGACGTTCGGGGATGGGCGGCACTTCGCGGCTGACCTGCCGACGGGCTTCGCGCATCGCAGCCAAATCCGACGGCGTCGCCGAAGGCCGGGTCTTGAGCTTCGACCCAGATGCAGACTTGATAGTGGCCAACTGCTCGGGAATCGCAGGGGAGTTGCGTGCTGCCTCCTCTTCAACCGTTGGGATAATCGGGTGGTGGATAACGGAGTCAGGCGTGCCAGGTTCCTCATCAGAGACTTCCTCGGCTTCATCACCCTCCTCTGGCTCGCCCCAACCCGACCCATCATACTCCGGCTTGGTAAGCGATCGGCGAAGCCGTTGGTCAGGCGTAAACGGGCGGTCGACGGAAGTCCGGATAGCCGGCAAGATGGGCTTCTCGGGCTCGGGAGCAACCTCAGGCTCCTCAGGCTTGGCGAGGATAGCCGAGTCAAAGCTCTTGGAAAAGTCGCTCTCCGCATCGCGGTTGGAAAGATCAAGCGAGGGTCGGTTCTCGGGTTCCGCGATGGCAGCAGGAGGCTCTTCCACGGGGGTAGTCGCACGCGGTGTAGGGGCCTGGTCGTCCTCAACTTCCGGAAGCTTGGGTAGCTCGGGCTCCTCAGGCTCCTCCTCATTGGAGTACTGACTAGAGCTGTCGTCTTCGTACCCGCTCTTCTCATGGTCCAGGTCCTCTTCATCAAACTCCATAGACTCCGAGTGCTGGTACATGTCGGTGATGGAATCGCCATCATAGTCGGGCTCTTCAACATCACGTGTGATGATGACGCTACCATCATCGGACTCATTGTCCAGGATGGAGTCTTCTGTGGTGGGAATAGGCACGTCGGGGTCATACGCCATGTCATCCATCGAAGTTGAGGGCCCAGCAGGCGACGAGAACTGGTACTCCGACTCCTGCTCCAGCTGCTTGTTACCGTTGACGCGACGAAGAATCGACTCGCGAGAAATACGAGGGGGGAGCTGGTACTCCTCCAAGGCTGAGATATCCCCGACAGTGTCCTCCTCCTCATATTCCGAAGGGGCTTGCACGCTGGGGCTACGGCTCTCCCGCTCAGGAGTGTGGCTCCCGGTACGGGGCCCGGCACGTCGCATACGACGCTCCCTCTGAATCTCAGCCGCGGACTTGCCGTCGTCAGATAGCATCATAAGACGGAGACGCTCCTCCAGCGGCATCCGACCGTTTCCAATGTTCTGGGACTCCTGGTTGGCGCTAAGGGCAGGCGGGGGCGAAGGCAGGGTCCGGTTGGCCGCGCCCATGCCAGGAAGTGGTGGAAGCGGGCGACTCTCGCCCGAGTCGCTGCGGCGGCTTGGTGGTCGCTGCACAGCGGCATCGAAGGGGTCCTCATGGCTGTTCTGCCTCCACTCATCCGGGCCCACAACAGGGGTTTTGTCGGTATCCTCAAGCGATGCGTCAAAGCTGTCATCCGGGTCACCGCCATCATGGATCATGTAGTGCTCATCGTCCTCATCCTCCTCGGAGTCGTAGCTGCCCTCCCGCGAGTTGCTACCAATAGAGGAAAGATCAGGTGTGGCCATCTCGTACTCGTTGATCTGGGGCGCTGTGTCGAAGGTGACGCTCTTCTGGTGGCGGTGGAGAGACTTGCCCTCAGGGAGGTTGCGTTCATCGCCTGATACTTCGGACCAGGTGCCAGTTTCAGGGTCGAAGCTGCTCTTGAACCGGCTAGACAATGATGACTTCATAGGCGATGGCTGATCCTTGCTCGGTGTCGTCGGGCGCAGAGGCGGGCTCATGGGGCCAGGTGACGAGGCCTTCGTCGGGCTCAAGATGGGAATGCCGGTCTTGCTTTCGCTCCGTTGGTGGCCCATGGGGCGGCCTTGGTTCTCTACTCGGTTCCCGTTGGAGCTGTTGCTGTTGCCAAAGATATTGTTGCTCTGGACCTTAGCCAAAGGGCGCTCGATCTGGGGGACCTTGGTCGGGTCGTAATCCTGTTTATGTTCGAGGGCGAGAATGTTGCTGTTCTTGACGCGGGAAGCCTTTTGCAGTCGCTCAATGGATGACCGCCTGTGGGGAGAAGGGGAGCCGGAGCGGCCATCAAAGCTGTTTTCCGAATTGAAGCTGCGGTTCTGCCAGAACATGCGCGGCGACGTGGTGGTAGCCTCCAACGGTGACGATTGGAATGGCGATGAGTCTGTAAGTGACATTTTCTGCGTGGTGGGGTAAACAAAACCCAGTTAGCGATCGGCTCCCCGCCAATTCCAAAACATTACACCGCGAATCCATGTCCCGTCTGTCTCACCTTGGTGTGTTGATTCCAGCTGGGGGAGTTGCGTCGCTTCTCGGTCGGCGACAGCTCCGAAAGCGGGCGCGGAATCGCGCTCTTCGCCGGAGAAGGCATGGTGCTGCTCTTGGATAGACGCAAAGGCTGCACCTTCAGCGCGCAGTGTTAGAGGCGGGACTCTGAATGGCGGCGCACTTTTACCGAGTATCAGATGTTGCAACCTACTGGTTCCTCCAAGGTCATACTCAAAATAAAGACGTCCGTTTCAGCGCGGGGTATCGAAGCCGATGTCGTTCCAATCTTTTGTTGCTTTTTGGTCGTGATGCGAAATGCGATGATTTAAAGATCTGAGCGGCGCAAAATGCGGGAAAGTAAAAAGGGCGAGGAAAGTTCCCCGGAAAACCAGTGGCACAGTGAAAAAAAAGAGAGCCTGGCCGGTCGCAGTTGCGAAAGGAAGGAAGGACCCAGGCGGTGGTTTGGGATATCGAAGCAAAAATAAACAGCTGCCGCTGAAAAAACGTTGACCGCAACCGCGCAGCAGCTACTTCCGGGATCGGTTTTGCTGAACAAGAGAGAGAACGTAGTTGAAGTCAACGAAAAAGGTCACTGTGCTGGTTGGCAGGGTTGGATTTGTGGTGTTTATGGGATCTTTTCGGGTGTCTCAGCCAGCGGTGCGACAGGTCATTCAATCGCCGTGCTGATTGGCTTGGGGGGGAGTAAACAAGGCAGAATGCCCCTCGTGTGCAGCTTGGCGCTGTTGCCCAGCAACCCCACCGAGCCCACCAGCAAGCAGCCGCTTCCAACTTTCCACTCAGCAGCGCCCACAGCCTGCAAAACTCCACCGCGGGCACCGGGTCAGCGCCTGGCACACACACCCATGTCAACAAGCCGGATTGTTGCCGCCCATCCCTGGTCCCGCGCCGCAGACAGCCAATCATCGAACAAAACATTGTCTCGCCTCCTTCGAGCATTGAACACAGCAAAACACAAGGGCGGCAGTCGAAGCCCCATCCGCCGGGTTTGAGATATATCAATGTAACCCTTTTGACCGGGCAACTGAGCCGAAAGGGAGGAAATCGAATTCAACGGCCCAGAGCCGCATTCCTTCGGCTTCCTCCGCAGCTATTCTAGGGTATTTTCTCACGATACCATACATTTGAATCTCCACAAAGCAGCACGGACGTCATTGTTGGGCTTCCTCAAAATAGACATAAACCTCCACCACAATCTGACAGAACGGGTGCGGTAACGGTCTTTTTTACTTTCTGAGATGTGTTCTCAACTAGTTATTTTAGTTAGTCATGCCAGATACCATCCATTCCCGATGATCTCTCCTCGGTACTCGCTATGTGCCTCACTTACACAAACCAGAGTTTTCATTTCCCAATCGAGCGATCTATTTTGTTTTTCCCCCTCCCCCTAAACCATCTACATGCACACACTACACTCATAAAAAACACCTCAAGTCTAGATAGAAAGTTGGGCCGTCAACGCCTTGTCGAGCGAGGTCTTGTACCGGGCCAGCTTCTGCGCAACTTCGCCGTTGCAGTAGTCCTCGACAATCTTAGGCGAATTGCCGATGAACAGCTTGGGGTCGACCAGGCTGTCAATCTCGTCCCAGACGGGCTGCAAGGTACACGAAAATGTCAGTTCCATTCTTGGTGTGTGAAGGTTCCCTTCGACAATGACAGACGCAAATGCATACCTTGAAGAACTCGGCCTTCTTGACCCGCTCAAGCAGGTCGTTGCGGCCGCCCTGCTGCTTGACAACGTCGCTGGCTTGGTGGGACTGGCATATGTCAGCTCCCGCCGCTTTGATATTTACATAGGCTCGTGTTATCCTACCAGAACGCGGATCTCCTCGTGGGCGTCCTGCCGAGAAACACCGTGAGTGGCGAGCTTCATGAGGATGGACTCGGTTGCCACTGCGAGGAAGGTGACATTAGTACGCTGGCTTCACCGCATGGATTGCAACTGTAACGTACTGAACGGCAGCTCCTGGTCGATGCGGGACCGGATGACGTTGGGGTAGATCACGAGGCCGTTAGTCACGTTGTCGAGTGCGAGGAGGATCGAGTCGGCGAGGAGGAACTAGAGGGGTCAGCAAGGCAATGCAAAGGAGGGACGTCTAGAAACTGACCATCTCGGGGATGTCCATCCGGCGAATGGCACCTGAGCGGGGTTAGCAGAAAGGGATTCCGTGGTAAGCTCTGAGAGGTGTAATGTTGAGGGATAATGGGCGGGCTAGGGTTATAGGTGCGAAACTGACTGTCATCGAGCCTGGATTTTGATTACATGTTAGCCAGCAGGACCGGGCTGTGTATCAAACATCGGGCGTAACTTACGTCCTCTCAAACCACTGAGTCTCGAACGTGGCGGTAAAGTTGGCAGGCAGACGGGCGAGCTTCCGGCCGAGGGCAGTGATACGTTCGGACCTCATGGGGTTACGCTGATGTCGTTAGTTACGGCGTCCGCATAACCACTAGCTATCCTCATTGTCTTACCTTATAAGCCATAGCAGAGCTCCCCTGTGTCCAGTTAGCACTTCTACTCGGATTTTCAGGAAGGGAGATTCAGTAAACCGACAATCTGGCTCTTCTCAAAAGGCTCCTCCATCTCCTTCAGGTTGGCAAGGTGTCGGATGTCGGAGCAGATCCGCTCGGCGGTGGCGCCGAGGGCGCACACGGCGTTAGCCACCCGGAGGTCGACCTGTACACTGTCAGTCACTGATGGTGTCTAGGGCCATTGGGTGCTGAGTAGGCCTGCTCACCTTGCGGGTGTACGTCTGCGTCGAGATGGCGTAGGTCGAAGGGAAGCCGGCCTTCTTGCAGAGGATCTAAATACATAGACACATGGATGTTAGGCCAATTTTCGAGACATGAGATCGGGCCAGTATAATTCTGCTGACCTCATTGAGCTGCACAATCTTGTCGGGGTTACCCTCGAACAGCTCAAGGAAAGTGGCCTGAGACCCGGTGGTGCCCTGGGCGCCACGGAATTGGAGTCTCTCGCGGACCGTCTCGATGTCCTCCAGATCCATGACAAGCTCCTGGATCCACTGGGCGGCACGTTTGCCTAAGTTTCACGGTTAGAACTCGTATCTCGGGGTGGAAGTGGTCACGGTAGCGGGTATCACATCCTTACCGACAGTGATCAGTTGAGCCTGTGGGTCAGTTGTTAGTCAAGCAACAGTAACGAACTCAGAGAAGTGGTATATTTACCGGCTGGTAGTGAGTGAAGCCGAGCGTGGGGAGGTCCTTGTACTTCAGAGCAAACTCCTGAAGGTTCCGGATGACCTTAGCCAGCTTGGGGAGGAGGAGGTCTAGGGCCCGCTGCTGGAAGATCAGGTCGGCGTTGTCGGTCACTGGGTTTGTTAGTGGAAATCGGGAAGTAGATAAACGAAGGCACACAGACTTGGGCTTACCGTAACAGCTGGTGGCCTACGGTGTGCAGAACGGTCAGCGCTTGTGAGACTGGCTTCAACAGGGGCGTTCTGAATTGGGTAATTTGTTGACTTACACCAAGGTGGATGTGGCCAGCAGCCGCAGGGGCATCCTGATGAGTTAATTTTCATGATCAGTAACGGACCCTAGAAATAGTCCTTTACTCATTCTATCACCACACTCCTTCAACCGCCCCTCATGAAAGAGACATCGCCATACCTCGCCGTAGGCATGGACATGCGCCATGACATCATGCTACACCCACAAGTCAGCACATCTCACAACTCATATCTCACATCACCCCGACACCAAAAAACAAAAACAACGAAGGTAAACATACACGAAACTTAGCCTCATAATCTCTCGCGACCGAAAACGCCTGGTCGGACACAGTGACGTGGGCGCGCATCTGATCGAGGGCTTCATCGGGGATGGGCAGACCAAGTTCCTTCTCGGCCTCGGCAAGCCAGACCCAGAGCTGCCGCCAGGTGCTGGCGCGCTCGCGGGCCGAGAAGATGGTCATCATCTCCTGCGAGGCATACCTCGTGCTGAGGGGGGTCTGTGACGTCGTGTTAGTCAAGAGTGTTTTTTGCGTAATTTATTTTGAAGCTTCAATCTCGTTTTTTTCTTTTCGAACTCATTTTTGTATTCCCATGTTCCATTGCTTGGCCTCGGGGTGTTGTGGTCGCTAAAGTTGTTAATTGGGTTACATACTTGGTACTTATCGTAGCTCGACATTTTGACGTCTCTTACAATGCCGTTAAATGCAAAGTCTGAGTAAAAAAAAGTTTTGAGACGTGAGTGAGCCAAAAACGGCAGAGGTGAATGTGATTGCGGGGGAGGGGCAACCAATTAACCTTTTTACCGCTAATGTGGGAAACTTTACACTACGAGTACCCCACACCAACACCCGCATTTCTGGACAATGAATACACCAAAACATGGCTAGTATTTTGTACACATCTCGTGGACTGCTTTTCGACGCCTCCCATGCCTCCTTAACGTGCCCTTGAAGCCTATTATACGAAGGCTTTTCTTCAAGGCCATATTTCCCTTCATTCCAGTCCTTCCTCCACTTCCAACAACTCTCAACAGTGGCTGCCATGGCTGGGTTGGGAGGATGGCTGTTGAAAAATAGGGGTGTTATTTCGTTGGTGAAAACACGTTGAGTGTTGTGCCCCGTTGGGACCTGCGCAGAGGATTTTGTTTATGCACGCGACCAAAATTCCTCTTCACCGAAACGACCCTAGCGGTGTCCACGACACAATGGACGGGCCTCGATCGAAACTGAGAGCGGAGTTGTGGATGAGACTGCAGCGGATGGCGTGTTCGCGCTGAGACATTGTTTCGACCCCTGAACGACAACTGCCAAGAACTGGGACACACAGCAACGTAAACAATGGATGCAGACATCGTCACAAACACGGATTCCCGTACCCTAACCCTCGTGAGTTTGACCCGGAAATAATCCGAGGACCCCGTGATCTGAGAAACATACGGAACGTCCTTGCAGGAGCAGGTTTGACAATAGCTTTCCCATTCAAACCGGCCGGCCCCAATTTCCTTATTCGAAAAGAGCTGACCTAGAACTTTTCGCCTTGTGTTTTAAATAAGTCCGATATTTCCCGGCACCTGACCCGGCACGCCCGGGCGTTATCGGGACCCTGAGCCCGGGATTGAGATGCCAAGCCGGGCCGCCATGACGCACCGTTGGTTGGTGGGTTTTCCCCGAAACGGCAAGACTTTTACATGTGAGAAAAAACCTTCGTCCGGACTCGAACGGAGGCATTGAGGCTTATTCTAGGACGTGGATTAGTAACATATGGTCTTACTCGGATATTTTTGACCTTTGTCTATCAAATTGAATCTCATTGCCAGACTGCGGCCTGGAGTAAGCGGGTTGAGCCGGGTTGAGTGAGCTTTGTTGGTCATGGACGTTTGACCTGAACCCATGACATCAACGGCGGGCTCGGGTGGTTCCGCTGAGTCCGATCTTCGCAGTCCACATAGGGGCGAGCGAGACATGACAAATATTTCACATGCGTTAAATGTTGATCTAGGATGGCGTTTTCTATACTTTAACCACGAGGAGAGATGTAACTTGCGTCCGTGAAGAATATCCTCTTCCATCGATTCAAGTAAAGATCCATATAAACAACATGGCGACCTTAAGATATCCGTCCAAGATGTCTCGAGGAGCCCACCTCACTCGATGCAACAATTTTACGGCCAACTCGCACGCACCAGTCCGATGTTTCAGTCTCGCAAAGAGTTAGTGGCCAGCTGTCGGTGTGTTACCCCCGAATCCATCTACTGACAGCATCGTAGATAAGAACACCCAGAAGGAAAGGGTGGTGATTCTTGGCTCAGGGTGGGCTGGGTATGGCTTCGCCAGGACGCTTGACCCGGCCAAATACGAGCGAGTCATCATCTCTCCACGCTCATACTTTGTCTTCACCCCATTGCTAGCCTCTACCTCAGTCGGGACGCTCGAGTTCCGCACCATCCTGGAGCCTGTTCGCCGAATTCCCGGCAAAGTCGGCTTCTACCAGGGCTGGGCCGACGACATCGACTTCAACCGCAAGACGATTCGCGTCGAGACCAACGCGGCCGAAGAAGCCGCCAGCAAGACCGTCATTCCAGGCCCGTCCGTCCGAGATCCGACTATCGAAGTCCCCGGCCGCAGGCCCAAGGGAGACATCATCGATATTTCGTATGACAAGCTAGTCATTGCCTGCGGTGCCTACAGCCAGACCTTCGGCATCGACGGCGTCCGCCAGCACGCCCACTTCCTGCGCGACATTGGCGATGCTCGCCGCATCCGCCTGCGCGTGCTCTCGCTATTCGAGCAGTGCTCCTACCCGCGCGACTCCGACCACCTCAGTGACGCCGACAAGCGCCAGCTGCTGCACTTTGCCATCGTCGGAGGTGGGCCGACGGGCATCGAGTTCGCCGCCGAGCTGCACGATCTGATCCGCGATGACCTTGCGCCGATCTACCCGGACCTGTACAAGTTCGTCAGCATCACCGTGTACGACGTCGCCCCCAAGGTCCTACCCATGTTTGACCAGGCGCTGGCCAAGTACGCCATGGACACCTTCACGCGGTACAAGATCCAAGTCAAGACGGAGCATCACCTCGAGCGACTGCGGTTGGCGGATGGAGAGTTTGGTCGCCGTCACGGGGCGCTCAAGATCAAGATCAAGGAGTATGGTGATGAAGAAGTTGGCGCGGGCATGGTCGTCTGGAGTACCGGGCTCATGGCCAACCCGCTGATTGCGAAGTTGGCGTCGAAAGATCTGCATCTTCCCGGCACCAACCCATTTTCCACTTCCCCCTCCACACGCCGTCGGCTTCTCCGGGATCCACGGACCGGTGGGATTGTGACAGACGAATACCTACGTGCTCGCACTACTACCACCTCCACAAAGGAGGGCGAAACGACTAAGACAACACCCGCCACCACCACAGACGACATCCTCGACGACGTCTACATCATCGGCGACTGCGCCATCTCCACCCCCTCCCCATCATCCACCAACAACGCCAAGCAACCACCGACCCCACCACCACTCCCCCAAACCGCCCAAGTAGCCGCGCAACAAGCCACCCACCTCGCCAAGCGTCTCAACGCTGGCGGCGCGGCCGCGGTCGCGCAGAAGCCCTTCAAGTTCCGCAACTGGGGCACGCTGACCTACCTGGGCAGCTGGAAGGCGATCCACCAGAGCGAGGCCGACGAGTTGCGCGGGTGGGTGGCGTGGGTGTTGTGGCGGGGCGCATATTTGACTAAGAGCATGTCGTGGCGGAATAAGCTGTTGGTGCCGGTGTATTGGGTGGTTTCGTGGGTGTTTGGGAGGGGGATTAGTCGGTTTTAGGTGGAGGTGGGTGGATGTACATGAGTTGTAGTTGGGTTATGGGGTTTAGATATCTGGCTTATGAATTGGTGCTCGGTAATAGAGTTAGTTAGAATGGCAAGCCGGAGTATAGAGGTGCATAAACAGGAATAGGTAGATTTGCATGGACATGATATACACACAGCTCAAACCTATTTACTTAGCCTTGACTTTCTTCACACCAACCTTAGTCGGCACCGCCTCAATCCTCGTCTCCAAGAACCCCCCTTTCCTTTTCCCGACCCCCCCTTCCTTCCCACCCATCTCAACCCCCTCCCCCCCTTGTCCAGCCTGTGCTTTAACCTCCCTCAACCAAGCAACATCCACCGGGGCCACCCGTTCCCTCACAAACTCCACCAACCCCCGGGCCTGCGACACGCCTTCTGGCCCCGACGACTCAGCACCGGCACGTAGGGCCACGCTCGACACCCGCGGCACTCCGAGCGCGGCGCTCAACCTGTCTTCGCACGCCCTGGAGAAGCCGACTAGGCGGATGGCGGGGTCCGGGTTGGAGTTGGTCGGCTGCTGGGTCTGTGAGGCCAATGCGACCATCTGTGGGAAGTGGCAGTGGAAGGCGGAGGATTGGCCGGAGCGGGCGACAAAGACGATGCTGTACGGTGGTGGTCTGGTTCTAGAACCGGGCTCTGCGATTGGTGGAGGCGGCTGGGGTGTCTTGGATTCTATTTTGGTGGTGTTCTTGGTCGATGATGGGCTGGGTCCTGACGGTGAATTGTCCTCCTCCCGTGACATCGCCTGAAGGCCGCGGGAGATGACGGAAAGGCCGACGTCGACGTGGGCGGATATTGGTGGAGATGGGGGGATGGGTTCGACAGGCTTCTCCGTTCCGGAACCGGCTGGGTTGTTGGCCTTTCTGACGCGTTTGCGTTTGCCCTTGGACGGTGTGATGAAGGATTCGCGATGAGCTCCGATGGGGGCTAAGAGCTGGCAAAGCAGTTCCAAAATAGTATCTTGGTCATCTTGAGAAATATGCGGCCTTTTTTCTCGTTAGTTGAGAATTTCAGGTATAGGACGAAAACAGCATCCTGGGTTTGCTGACCATTCCACCGCAGAATACGGCGTATCGAGGGCGTGCACAATCTTTTTGCGCTCCATTGCTGCAAAGCCGACCAAGGTCGTGCGTGGCGGAGGTGTAGCGAAATAAAAGGCGTTTTCACACTGCTTTTGGTGCTCATACAGCCCCCAAACGCTGCTTGAAATAATTATTAAAGAGCGATACCTTTGGTTTTCGATCAAGTTCCATTGATGTTGTTTGCGGTTGATGATGTGAGTCGCGAGTTCGCAGGTTGCAGCCGCTGTGTGAAATTCGAATAATTTTTTGCAGAAGATGAAAACAAGGTTACAGAACAATAAAATACCACCTTATCGGTATTGAGACGTTCAACACCGTGATCCGTTGTGAGAACAGCAGTTTACGGCCTAAATAATAAATCTGTATTCTCACGAAATAGATACAACAGAATCACGTCTCCTTTGCGATTATAGCCGTCCCAATGGGGTCGTTGTTCCGGAGCGGATGGGAAAGCGAAGCGTTGCTGCAATGATACCCCTGTATTAATAGCGTATACACGTATTTATCACATAACCACTAACAGACGATGGGTACATACAGCCCAGCCTTAATTTCTATACTAACACCGACCACTAACTTCATATCCCAACCTTCGACCCAGCGAAGAACGCTATTTTTCTAGCCGTAGTAATGCTGCCCCGTATTACCCCAACCGCTAGTGATCAAAGTAAGAACGCCTTGTCCCGCTTATGATAAAAATTTCAAGGTTTGCCAATCCAAAAGCCCATGTTTCCTCCAATGCATGTGCTGGGTAAAACACTCCCAACTAGGTACATCTGGAAAATGGCGAGAATAACGCACACTCAATGTGCTGAAATACCCTCCAATACCTCGGTCTTTAGAGAAGAGATCTGTGGGTTGCACGGTAGTCGACTCTAGTCCCTGAGACTCGGAGCGTCGTCGGCAAACCACCATTTTCCTTTGCTTCTAATTTTACGTGGCGAGTGATGAAAACCTCCTTCTTGGAGTTCATCAAACCCATTTAGAACTCGCTCGTTCAGGCCGCCTAGATGTTTATTGGCCGGCGCTTAGTATTCGATGAGCGCGGTTCATCATATGAAAGTCCCGACGGAGCAGAGGAAAGTGAGTCGTTACTTACGGGCAGCAGCTTGTGCCTGCTGTCGTAGATCACGGCGGCATCTTGAACAGAAGTCGTCCACCAGAAGGGTGGGCATGTAATTGGTGTGCGTTTGATGGCATGGCACTTGATCACACCATTCCGACCACTCGCTGACCGTTTTTGTTCTGGAATGGCCACATCGCTGGTAGAGGGTGGTTCGTTTAGCTTCAATACACATGGTTAAAGTGTGGGAAACGGAGTGCATATAAAGACAAGGCGGGGTGGTAGTCTTTTTAACTTTTTGACCACGATGTCTGTGGTGCCTGCGGTAATAGAGTCTAGTCGGCTAGAATGAGCTGATAGGAAAGGAGATACTGATAGCATGCTGTTGTGGTGTGTAGGATTAACCTCGCGATTTATACACTTTCACACCCTATTGGAGACTCATGTTGCCGTTGTTATTACTGATCGGTAGGTTGGTGTGGCCCACTGCCTCGCTCCTACCGCTTTGTTGACACCCCTTTCGTATCCGGCTCAGCCACCCAGCCGGAACCAGGACTTAATCATAAGAACGTGGTGTGCGTTTTCGAAGCTTTGCTACAGCCACTTTGCGCAACTCTGCCTAGCCGGACAATGTCAACATTTCCCAAGGTAGAGAAATGTGGTTGCGCCTGCGTATCATTCACTTTCATTGACCTTGCAACAAAGCTTACTGGTGTTAAGGGAGTAGTACCGCCGAACATTGTGGTCTTCATTGTTATATTGTGAAACACCACTGCTAGCGAACCACCGAAAGCAGGACCCACGCGCAGTTCAGTCTTTCGACACTCAACCGCTTGACGGAAGAGTAAGTCGGGCAAGACTTGAGATGATTTATCGAGGCCAGGCCTTTGAAAGTGAATGAATATTACCCCTGACTTTAGTGTATCCCTCGCGGTTGCTCTAAATGCTGGTGCCACATAGAAGCCGTGGAATATTGATCAATCGTGAAGTTGTTGCTGGCACAAGCGGGCTTCCCAAGATGGATCGGGAATGGAGGCGAGAGTGGGTATCACTGAGTTCACACGTGGCAGGGCCAGCCACACTTACTATGTAGGTACTTTGCGGATTCGGCAAGTTCGGTCCCCTTTATAGAGGCGAGCTCCTCACCAGTGTTTCCCCCCATATTTTCCGAACTTAATTTCTGCATGTCAAGGAAGCCCTTTACACCGGTATTGCTTCAAAAAAGTACAACCATGAGTCTATGACCGCTGATCTAAACAATGTGCTTTACGAGCTTGGGGTTAATTTATTGGCAATTGCTCGACATTTGCTGTCATATGTCAACCAATTTGCTCAACCAGCGGCCAATACGCGGAGCATGAAGTATTGCATCTCTTCGGAGATAACGACGACCTAGCGTGTTAAGTGCTGGTGGGCTTCCAAGCATTCGTAGACTGGTACCGAGCGCGTTTGCTAAGGGGAATTATATGCCTGATATCTTCACTACAGATGTCCCAGTTAATAAGGTGTTGGGAGTCTATCTTTGGCTAACATATGCACGGCCGCGTCCGGATCGTTGCTTTGGGCAGCAAGGTGATGGTTCCCAAACTACTTTTTCAGGTTTTTGAAGGTACACTGCCTAACTAATGAGCTCGGTGTATGTTTAAGATTAGCTATAGGCCCCTCTTAGTTAATTAGTAGTTTCTACCCTACGGTTTTTGAACGCAAAGGTGGCAAAATTTCCTGAGAATTGAATGGCCGGTTAAGGACATTGTAGCTAACCCCCCCTCCCCCCTTCGGCCTCCCATAAGTACCATGGCCTTTGCGTTTTGGTCGAACCAGGCACCGTCTTATCAGACGACGACCCTGTGATAGTGCTCTGAAAAAAGTGGGTTGTGTAGAATGTCAAAGCAAAGCATCGTGTGATTGGGAATCGCCTACTGCGAGTCCAAGACTATCTAACAATGACATTATCAAGGGGGCTGGGGAGGCCGTTATGGCTGATTTAGGCGGGTCAACACAATGCGTTAGGTCCACCGACAAATTCACATACCTCTGTATCGATGTATGTACATACAGTACATATGATGGTGCAGGGCGAGGCAGGGGTGGAAAACGAGTGTGCTTTGCGGATCGGCCACGAGAGCAACTGGTGATGTCAACCCCCAACAAAATGGCTATATTCCAGTGTTTAGCTTTTATAAAGTAGTTTTCAGGTCGTTGTTTTTTGCTTCTTCTTTGCTTGTTCTTTGCGCTTTTCAATGTTCTCCATCTTGCCCATCTAGTGGGGTCATTTGCGCCGAAGGCATCTGTTTAGACAGACTCAAGGAAAGGGACCAAGCTCAAACAAAGAGCGACAGGGGCCGCCCGTTTGCGTGCCGCTTCGGTTGCTCGGGACCTTTGAGGCGAGGGAAGATCTGGCGCAGATGGCGAACATGAGATAGACAGACACCGGCGTGTAACTATCCTCTTAAAAAGTCAAACGGATCTCGACACTTCGTTCGTTCGTTGGCTCAAGGCCTGCGTTGTTGGAATAATTTGGTCTCCCATCTCCGTTTGACAGTAGACTGTGTTGTAAAGCATGTGAATGACATAGTGGTACGCTATGACGGGGACTGCGGTGTTGGCTGCTCATACAGCCATCACCAAGCTGGTCTGAGCGTTCATATTTGAACATCCCGCCTCCAAGGATTGCAGACCTGATATTTCTGACTGAGGTGACTTTCGATTAGTTTTTTTGCTTTCCTCCTTTACAGCCCTACTAACTAAATTTGGGGCGGGCTGCACTTTCCGTCGGCTACCTACCATCAACCTTCGTTACCTAGACATGCTTTCCAATTCTCCTTCCCCACCTTCTTCTGCCTTTCGTTTTTGTTGTCACCTTAAACCACCAAACTACCTTGCCTCAGGTATAGGACTCTACCTCGTTGCTTCCGAAACTAGGTAATTTACAAACAGCTAGCAAGCATTTGGCTTAATCGCCAGACCGGAAATCATCCCAACTTTTTGCTTTAAATCTCTTGGTTTCGAGTGGGCGCTCTCACGTGCAGTCCCGTCGCGCTGCCAAGGCGACTGATATAACCACCCCCTCCCCGCAGTCTTTACCTTTGCTACACCCCGCAGGCCACGCAGCCCCCCCTCGTTTCTTCCCGCAGTTCCCATCGTCACCAAAGCACATTGTGGGACCCACGAGCTCCCGAATGCCCTGGTAGCTCCCTCGTTCAGGTTCCCACCTTAGCAACCTTCAACTTTGGAAAGATACCTTACCTCCCAGTCGTCGAGTTGCCGAATTGCGGACCGCCATACTTTTCCTTGGGCCTGCGGCAACATCTACCTAGGCTCTATTCATCATCGCACTCGTTTATCAACGGTGCACCGCCAGCTGTCCTGCAAGTATGTTTAGGTGCATTTCTTTTTTCCCGCCTTTTCCTCAAAGCTTTCCCGTTTTCTGCCGCGCCCCATCTGCCTGCTTTTCCCCGCTTGGAGCCCGCAACCCCAGGACACGCGCAGCCCTGCCTGGGATTAGAACCGTCGCAGCGAGCTTGTTGATTTCACTGACATCAGCGCGCCCCCAAAACCAAGCTCCTGTCACCCTGCACTCTCCCCACACCTGCCACACCCAACCCCAGCTGCTTGTCGAGGACAGGGGGAAGAAAGAAGCCCATCAAAGAGTGGAACGGAAGCCACGGCAGCTTACCGTCCGGGCAGTGTCTCTGCTGTATTTCTTCAATTCCACACAGGGAGTGGGCTCGAAGCTTTGTCTTGGATCGCTTCCCCGGACTAGCCCCTCCACTCGCAGTATCAGCTTTTACTTTCTTTTCTGCCTTTTTTTTTTCTCTTTTTTTGGTTCTTTTGATTCCAATCCGTTTCCCCGAGCAAGGCATTGCATCCAACCAGGCGTTGCCCCCCTGCTTGGTGGGTTGCTGCATCTCATTGCTTGCCCCAAGCAGTTCAAACGACCTTTCTGCTTGCACTGCTCACAAGCACCGAAAACCCCCACCTTCCTGGGCATGCACCTATCACAAAACACCACCACATGCTAACAACGACGCGACCCAGACGCTGCCACCGAGCCTCCCCGAGCGGAGCTCTCCCCTCTGCGGAGCTGAAGCCATTTCCCACAGGTTTACCTTTTGCGCAAGCCCGATGGCTCAAGCTCCGTCGGCCGACCCGAGAGAACGCGCCATCTCGTCCGAGCCCTGCTCGACCCGCCCTAATCCCTTCGACGACCAAGACGTTCTTTCCCGAAAACGGCGACGCACCTCCCTGGCCAGCGACTCGCGAAGTCGGTCGGCCGAGACGCTCGATTCTTCCCCAAGCTCACCCGTCGTGGTTACATCAACCCCCGAGCTTCCGAGCGACTCTGCCATGAAGATCGACTCGGAGCCCATCATCCCCACGACCCCCGAAAGACAGCAGCGCCCTGCTGTTGAGCCTACTTCAGAGCAGCGATCTAGTCGCGTCACGATAAACGTGCGGACGCCATCCCGACCGCTCGAAGCGATTCCTCCATCCCCTCCGTCTCCCTCCCCCGACCCCCGACCCGTGGATTCTACCCCACTATCCGTCGCATCCTCCCCCGATGTTGTCAAAACGAGCGTGGAAGAGGCTGATTCCACCATGCCAATAAACGGCGAGTCGTTGGAGGCTCCGACCTCGCCAAGGTCGGATAGCGACAGCCCGCCGGTTGAGGTCGTTTCTGTCAACGATGAAGATGACGCCGATTTCGACGACGACGACGAGTCGATCACCATGTTGGATGAACCCGGTCGGTCTTTGGAATTCGACCCTTCACAGGGATTCCCATTTCACGATGCTACGGAATCGTATTTTGAGACGGTGGTTCGGTTATTGCAGTATTTGCCAACGCGTAAGCTCATTGATCCTTTCCCCGGCCATTAATTCATGTTCCCAAGGTCCTGTCTTGTGTCAACCATAACTTACACATACTCCTTACAGACGAGCAAGTACCTCGATCCTTCATCGATTGGATAGACAAATACGTCAGTTTTGTCAGGACTGCCTCTCCCCGGGCTATAGACGAGTCCTACCTGTTGTACCGGGATATGTGGCAGTCTGTGCCTCAGCTGATTCTTCACATGGTAAATCGAAAGTGAGTCACAAAACTTGACTCAAAAAGTGTTTAACTTGAGACTGACCTGGCCGGATTAGATCTATTTACCCCCGTTCAAAGGAGCTGCGTCATGAGATCTTTTCTTTCTACCGCTCTTTCGCGCGGTTGACGGCCATCTTCCTCGACATCGACCTTCGAATCATCCGAAACCCAAGTTTGGACGACCAGGCACGGCTCCAAGCGCTAGCTTCACCGCCTTACATCCATGCGCTTGGGGCACTTACACGGCGGGAAGAGGTAGTCATGCACAGTTCCTCGCCGCACTTCCGCAATGGGGACGAAGACTGGAGCTATATCTCAGAGGTCCTTACGATCATCGACGCTTTCCAAACTTTCCCTTCAGTGCAAGGTGGCTCCCTCTACAACATCCGCCAGTTGGCTGCTCTCGAGGCTCGTGTGGCCTCCCAAGCCCCTAGACTGGCGATGGACCACCTTGGGAATATGTGCCTTATCTCGGGCATCATCTTGAAATACCTCTTCCGCACGGCGCAGTACGCTGGCCAGCCGCTCGACCAGAACGCAGCGCGAACCTTAGGGCGTATGTATGCCTTCTTCAACGGCATGTCGGCCATTTTCTCAGAAATGGTTGACAAGAGCTTGAATCAGCTGTCACCCGAAGGCTCCGGAAACTTGATCGAAGGGTTGACGGAGGTCTACCAGACTTGTCTTTCTGTCGACGGTGCCGTCCCGGCTGAAATTTTCACTCGCCATTTTGAGGCGTACCCAAAATTCCCAGCTCAGTGCGCCCCCGAGGCAATATCTCTCCACTGGAAATTCACGCATTTCGTCAAGCTCATACGGTCCGGGCAGATGCAGTTGCGAGTCATGGCCGTCAGTACTATGTGTAGCGACTTGGTTGCTCTCTATCGCAAGAATTCCGACCCACTCGGCGAGGAATCCACTGCGATTCTTCATCGCTTTGTTGCCGACTTCCTTCTCAGCACTGGACTGGTGACTTATATTCTCGGCCCAACGTGTCACCCCGAGATTACCCTTGAGAGCAGCAATATCATTGGCTTTCTGGTTGTCACGCAGACCTATCTAAAGGCGCATACCGATATCCTTTGGCAAACTGTCACGTCCACGCAAGACCCGCGGGTATCGGATGCGCTTCTCCGCATGATTGGCCGCATTGCGAATCTCTACGCCGAGGAGTCACTAATGTATTTCCTGGAGAAGCTGAGCACGGTGCCCGTGGAATCCTTCGGCGCTGGAATGCGAGAGTTTTGTGATCAGGTTCTCAAACAGATCCTTACTCGGTTCCCGGACAGCCTACAAACCGAGTCCACACCGTTCGACCTCTTTATCCGCCTCATTCGCCACTCTTCAAAGCTCGGATCGCAGTCTCAAGTGGCCTACCCGGACATTCAGCAGTTCGCAATCCAAAAATTTGACATCCTCTTGGGCATCGGGCCCGGCGAGGAAGGCCGCGTGAGCATCTACCTCGATTGTCTGGCCGACATTGCCGCAAAGTCCCCCTTCACATTGGGGAGTTTGTGGGTCCTCAAGTTGACAATTCGGCAATACCAAGCCCGGGACATGCACCGATTAACTTCCCAGCATGAGCTGTCTAAGCTCCTCGTTGATGAACTCGCCGCCGCCATCCCGGCCGTGAAAGCTGCGGGGTTTTCGGCGGCCCTCAGCGGCCCTCAGAATGCGCCTCGGAAGGATATGATCATTTCATTGATCTTCCAGGAGCCCACATCGATTACGGAGGAGCTCGGGCCAAAGCTGTGGAATTTGCTTGTTGGTCCAGAGGCGGCTTGCCAGGAGGACCGTGACTCCGCCTGGCAAAGCTTGTCGGTTGCGATCAAACGAAGCATGGGTGAAAATCCCTTTGCTTTGCTGTGCTTCGCGGAGTACCTTCCAAAATTGGATCCCAAGTTTTTTTGCAAGGGCACACTCGAGTTTGTCAAAGAAGGGGTACTACCTCTTGTGGATGAGCCTAATTCCATTATTCTCGATGACGATGAGAACCCGAACCACTCTGGCATCGAGAAATTGTGGCGAGTCGCCCTGACTGCGCCTAAGGGGACAGTGGAGACCGACGCTATTCATGCGCTAGCTAACGATGTTTACATTGAGAGCCGATCCATTCAATCGTTCCCTCCGTACAGGGCTCGAAAGGTACATCTAGCACTGGTCGACCGGTGCCTGCGACAGCTCTCCTCGGCAGCTACGAAGCTGAAGAGCTTTGCGAACGGCGTCACCACCGGGGACGATGACGACTCCATGGCGATTTCTGCGAGTGATGAACAAGTCCAGGAGCAAGAACTGCTTTTTTCCCGTTCCCTGGCGATCTTGAGGGAATTCCACAACCTCCACAAATCAAGGCCGGAGTTTGCTGCGCCTTATGTGAAATCGCTCATGCTGGAGACTCCCAAGGAAGTAGAAGGCGAGTTGGCGGAGCTCAAATATCAGTCATTCGACGGCACCAGCCAAACAAAGATCATGCCTCTCGCCATTGGGAAGCGTAACACGGCCGCTTCGCTACTTGCAAGCCTTCGCGACGTCACAGGATTTGACAGTTACCGGATCTACTACCGCGGCAGACCGTTTGTCCCTCGGGTACACGATATCTGCAGGTCTCTTGAGGATCTCCGCATCGAAAATGGCCTAATTCTCGTCAAGAAGGAGGCCGAAGGGCCCGCCTCACCACGGGTACCGCAAGGCGCATCCCCGGTGGAGATTGAGATTCTGAGCCATTTTGAGGAGCTGTGGGACTATCTCTCGTTGGATGAGAAGCTTTCTCGCGAGGTGGGGAAATAACATGATGATGCTTTGATTCAAGAATGCAACAATGCTAACTCAAGGTGTTGATAGATATACGGGTTCCTGATCAAGCTTCCTGCTGATGTTAGTATCCTGGAAGCTATCGCGAACCCCGCCGTATCCTACGCGGACACTTTTTCCTTGGGCCAGCCACTCAAATCGCTCTACGCTGTGCATGCTCTCAGAGAGTATCTTGACTCTTGGCGGCCGAAGTCGTTCTCCGGATTGCCCAAGAAAAAGTTGCCGGGGACTATGACCGATACGAATCCCAGCCTACGCTCGGCTGCTTTGATCCGGGCCATGTCTTTGGTCGTTTCAGCCATCTCTGACCCCCAGATTGTCGCGCAATGCCCGACTCAGGAGCTGCAAATCGACATTGGCTCTTCCCTTGTGGCGCTGTTTGTTTCTCTGCTACAAGAACCCGAGCTTCCTGCGTTGGTTGGCGAATCTCTCGACGGACCCCTTCTGGAACGCCTCCTCGCGATTCTTTCGGTGGCGGCGACATCGACCGCTTCGTCAGAGATTGCCATCAAACACATATCACTTTGCCTGCAGGGACTTCTGGAGTCTTGCTGCAAGAGTGACCTTTTTATGGCCGCGTTCACGGCTCACCCGGATGTCCCTCGTATTGTTGGAAATCTCCTGCTCCATGATTCGCGGGACCTTGTCAGACAGACAACAGCCATCCTCATCCGAGACAAGACTTCCACGGTGGCTGAAGGTGAAAGGTATGGCTTTTCAGCGGGATTCCACTCGTGAACAACGGTATGCTGACTCTGCCTTTAGACTCCCCGTAAGGGTTCCTGAAACAGTCTCAAAGTTCAGGGAGTTTTTCTGGCCTCTAATCTCGCAGCTCGTCAGGCCGGCAATGGCCAATCCCGCGAACTCAACAGATACGCTCGACTTATGCTTTGACATGCTCCAGACCCTTGAAGACGCCCGAACCGAAATCCCGAATCTCAAGCAGCTTTCGAACGATTGGTTCCTCCAACTTCTTCGTTACACCACATTCGAGGTATGTGCGGGGGGTTGTGGACTTAACAGCGGTGTCATATATCTAACTTACGCACAGGATCTCACGAAGCCAGCCGAGACTGATATGATTGCGGCTGGCATGATCCGGCTTGTGCATGTCATTGTGTGCAGGAGCAGCGAGAGGGCCGGACGGGATATTCTCCCCTCCAGGTTAGTGATCTATGCTGTTCCACGCTCAACGTTCTGCAGTTGCTCTAACCCTTGATTAGGGGCATGGCTCGGAAAATATTCTGGAAGCACCTTTTCCCCCCTCGGGACGAGGTGGCCAGGGCGATTGGACCAAGCCAGCCTATTGCCTGTCCCCAAACTCGGGGTTGGCTCATGGAGATTATATTCACGCTCGTCAAAGACGATCCTACCCAGTACATGTGGCTTCTTGAGGACATGGATGAACTAGTTCCAGTCTTCTTCAACCAAGACGGTAGGCAATCGGTGTAAATTACTAACTTTTAGAGTTAAGGCTGACTTGCCCAGGCGAACATTATGCATATGAACTCCCGCAGCAATTTGATCGGTCAAAGGCTATTAGGGCGGCCTGCGGCTACTCTGGTCTACGGAATTTGTCCAACACATGCTACTTTAATTCTCTGTTGACACAGCTGTTCATGAACGTGGACTTTCGCGAATTTATGTTGGGAGCTACCGTCCGAGACCGGCAATATGGCCAAAATTTGCTGTTCCAAACTCAGAAGTTGTTCGCATTCATGCAGGAGAGCGTCCGGCCTTTCATCAACCCCGAGGAATGTGTCGCCAGCATCAAGACCTATGAAGACACCCAGATTGATATTGTCATTCAGATGGATGTCGATGAGTTCTACAATCTGCTTTTTGACCGTTGGGAAGGCCAATTTGTCGTGAGCGACGAGAAGAACCGCTTCCGCGCGTTTTACGGGGGTCAGCTTGTCCAGCAAGTACGCTCTCAGGAGTGCGAGCATGTCTCGGAGAGGCTGGAACCTTTCTCGGCCATCCAGTGTGACATCAAGGGCAAGACATCGCTTGAGGAGAGCCTGCAGGCTTATGTTGATGGTGAAATCATGGAGGGCGGTACGTATTACGTTGTTTCGGGGATCGGTTATGTGAGGTGATCGCTTTGAAGACTAACGGTATACAGACAACAAATATAAGTGTTCCACCTGCGACCGCCACGTCGACGCCGTCAAAAGGTTTGTGGAGACTGTAACCCTTGATGCTTTTGGCTTGCTGCTAATTTCGCAACTAGAGCTTGCTTGAAGGATATTCCCGACAACCTCATCTTTCACCTGAAGCGCTTTGACTTCAATCTTCGAACCATGCAGAGAAGCAAGATTAACGACTATTTTGCATTCCCAGACAAGATCGACATGCGGCCGTACACCATTGACCACCTCAGCAGCCCTGATGAGGAAAAGCCCGAGGACGTGTTTGAGCTCGTCGGTGTTCTTGTTCATACGGGCACAGCAGAGTCCGGGCATTACTACTCGTACATCCGCGAACGCCCTAGCAGCGGTGAGGTCCCGACGTGGGTTGAGTTCAACGACGAAACGGTCACGCCCTGGGATCCGGCATCGATGGCGAACTCCTGCTTTGGCGGCCAAGATTACCAACCCCAGTTCCAGGCAAACAGTGCCGTGTTCGAGAAGCAGTACAGTGCCTACATGCTGTTCTACCAGAGGTCATCATCGCTTGCCAAAAACCAAGCTTTGCAGAGCCAGGGCTGCTCAATTCCATTGGGTGTGAAGATGCCGGAAGACATGCACGAGTTCATCCAAGACGAGAATGCTTGGCTGCTTCGGAGACACTGCCTGTTCGACCCCTCACAGATCCAATTTGTGTCGTTGGCTCTTTTCCAGCTGAAGACCCTTAACTCGAATCGCTGCTCGGCCGACCATACTCTGGAAGGGCGGGCCATCGCCATGGCTCTCAGCCACTTGGACCAAATTGCTTCGCGAACCAAAGACGTCCCCGACTTTTACGCCCTTATCAGTCGCCTACAAGCCATGTGTGAAAGCTGTTCCCACTGTGGACTCGCAGTGCACGACTATTTCACCAAATGCACCTTTGCTTTCCGTATGTTGGTTCAAAGGAATCTTGATGAAGATGTCCGGCAGGCCACAGCTAGCTTCTACATCCAAGTCCTCCGGTCGATCAAAGAACAAGACCCCGCGCAATACTACGGCCCCGAGCTAGATGTCGATGGCGGAGACGACGTGGACGAGCTCGACCCGCAGGCGTCCGTCATTGGGGGGGTGATCCATATTATGGAACACTTATGGCAGGGGTTTCACATGAACTTGCGCTCGTGGCAAGAGGTGTTTGATTTCATGCTGTCGTTTGTCCGGCTAGGACGCCAGGAGCTCTCAGCCTTCTTGCAGCATCAAAGCTTCTTTAAATGGCTCCTCTGGATTATTTGGGCGGATACCAACGCTGAGCCCTTCTTACCCCCGCAGTTTGCCAAGTTGGTGAACGTCATTGCTCGTAGGACACCCAACCGGCCGCCTGCTTACGAAACGATCATCGGGTTGTTAGACTTTGTGCTAGCACACGTGCGACTGCTGCCCAGCACCGAGTCGAGTCCTGAGGGAACGGGCGATAGCGACGATGAAGACGTTCCTACCACAGACCCAGAACCGTTGTTTGAAGTCCCAGCCGAAGAGGCCCGCATCCTCCAGCGGATGGGCCCCAACACGATCCCCGTCAACATCTTTGTGGACCGGCTCATCACGATCTCGCAGAACCAGGAAGCTACGCATTCGATCATTGCAAATCTGATGAAACAGAACGTGGCCATGGAGTCTAGCGTGTTCCACACCCTGGTCCATCGAATTACGGGACAGATCGGCCACCACGTTGCGCCATACCTTCACATTGCCGGCACGGTGTTCTGTCGTGTGTCGCGCAGCAAAAAGAGGATCAATGATTTGGTCCAACACATCTCACGGCAGTGCCGCGCATTGAATAATGCTGAAGGCAAGGCTTTCTTGCAGTTTCAGCGGGAAATCTTTGATGGCCCACGTGAGAGGACGGGGCAGACGCCGCACGAGGTCATCATGGACGGACTCGACAACATTCCCGAGTGGGCCCCGGGATTGCTTGGATACTTTGACACGTCAGTCGTTGACGGCACAGAGGTGTTCCTTCAGGAGCGAATCTTTCAATACCGCACCTTCCAGCCGCCGCCGGAAGAGGAGACGGAAGAATCACGCAAGATGGCTGATAAACTGAAGGAGACGGCGAGGTCTCTTGGCTTGAAATGCTTGTATTTCCTGCGCGATACCTACGTCGCCCGTAATGCGGACGTCTCGGAGCGCGCTGTGATCGGCCTACAGCGGGTGATCAAAATTTGCAGCCGGTACTTCAACCTTAAGGAGCCAACTGAGGACCCGGAGGCGACCAATTTTATGGAGCTTAGCCAGAGTAAGTTTACCTCAGAAACCTCAGACATCGTTCAATTTGTGCAGAGAACTGACACTTGTATAGGCGTTATGGACGCACTGGCCGGATTGATGGTCGTCGACGAGTTGGAGGAAGACGGCTCGGGTATGTACTACAGTGACGACTCGAGCGTTGCCTCGAGCAACACAGCCGGCTGATGACCGGCCTCTCTTACAGACTGGGGCAATTCATCGTTTGGGTCTGGGCAACTGGATGGTGTTGGGGACTCCGATCCGTGATCGGGAGTAGCGAAGAGTGAATTATCATGAGCAACACAACGATATGAGACCATGACAAACGACAAAACGACAAATGGACCGTCTAGGTTTCCAACGCGATAGATCGGGAACACAAAACGAGTCCGGCCTACATCGAACTACAACACTGGGTGGGTGCTGTGGGTGTTATTATTTTGTGTAAGGAGTCGAGGCGCCCTGGAGACAATTGGGGGAACATTGGCCAACGATCAGCTTTTTCATTATTTGCAGTTTGCATTTCCCGGTATTGCGAAACGCGGACAGGCCTGCTGCTTTGAGGGAGCAGGAAGGAATATTACCCCGGATAGAAGAAAGCAAGGCTTTTGTTTTCGGAAAACTGATCGGGATTCAGATCAGTATGTTTCGGTTGGGTCTGGGACTGGTCGGCGGTTTACTGGCTTACATGTACTGTTTTTGCTTTCCTTTTCTATTTATTAGAATGCCCTTTGTCCTTGGCCGGGACGGATGGGGGTAGTTCCCATAGACGGTTGGCTGCCGGGCATAACGGGCGCGGATTGTTACGCTGACTAGCACGATCGGTTCCACTCTTACACATTCTCGTTTTTTTCCTCTTGCTCCTTTTTTTTCCATTTTTCATTCCTCCTTTTACAGGCCCTGTTTGAAAGGCACTAGGGTTGGTTGGCTGGCGTTTTTGCGGTGGGTTCCCGCTATGCCCCGGCAGGCCTTTCGAATATGCCACCCGGGTGATGAGAGCCGCCAGGCTTTTTTCCAGGGACGGTCAGGAGAGGGAAAGTCTCTGTAAGCAGTAGTGAGACTTGGTCAACATTACAGAATCAGCTGCTACTTGATAAGAAGTGGCATTTGTGTAATAGTGTATTCGTTTGAGATATGATAAGAAGCTGGGTGAGCCTTGTTTCGGCCGGTGGACAATCGAAATAGAGAGACATGGAAGAATGCGCACTGAGTACACACTACTGCCTCCATGTCGCTAAGTGAGGCCAAAATAGCACATCCGCCCACCACCATCATTGAGTCCTGGGAACCGTGTGACCCCCGTCGATAGGCGCTTCTTGCGGTCGGAAACACACTACCATGTATAATCACAAAGGAGGAGGAAACGAGGGGGAGGTGAAGGGGAAAAAATAGAACACCGCAGATCTAGATCTTGAACGGTGGGCTCGCGAACCAGGGAACGAGAGAACGGCGTAAAGAAAGTTCATGGTAGCTAGCCACCAATGAGATGAGGCATTCCTGCGTCTTCCGTGATGGCGGTTTGTGATCTTGAGGAGGAAAAGGGGCTCGACGCTCCCCAGGCCCTTGGTCATGAACGGGACGCCGATACGACGCACGCGGTGAGCGAGTGCGCGGATGGCGACGACCCGACCAAAAATAGCTGTGCCTCTTTCCTGTTGGTCTCCCACCGCCCAAACCCTCTCTGCTCTGGTCCTCGACGATGATCTTTGTCCTTGTTCGCTGGCGAGCGAACCAAATGCGGGTTGGTTGGTTCAAGCTAACGTTGGTTGCCCTCTTTCTCCCCCGAGCTGTTGGGACCTTTTGGCTTGGCCGTCTGTGTGTGCTCGTGCGATTTTGGTCTTGGCTTGTTGTGTTTAGGCGCCGGCGCGGGTGGAGGGGAGATGATGATTGGTCGGAGCTGGCGACATCCGAGAGAGGGAAGGAAAGCGGGAGCTTCCAACGAACCTGACAGGTTGACAGGGTTGAGGGGAGAGGGTGGAGTTGAGATGGGAATGGGGGTGTTAAACTTTTCTCCCCCGCATTGCAAGGCAGATTGGTCCACTTGGGCGGGCGTTTGATGTGGGTCTTGAATTGGTCTGGCCTGGGGTTTAGCCGCCGGGGCTTGCTTGGTTCCTTCCTTCGCTCGGTTCCTCCTTCCATCGGGAGGAGCGAATGTCTGTCCACCTGCTTGCTATTTTCTTGTTCTTTGGGATTTGTGCATGATGAGGGGAAAACACGGTGTGTTTGTTGGGAGAATTCCGGCGTTGGCCGTTGTCTGCGTTGTCTCCTTCCTCTATAGTTTTTGCTGTCCGTCTTGCTTCCGTTTCAATGCTCGGTCTCTTGGTTCCTTTTCGTGTTTGGAACAACCCAATTGCCAGCGCAAGGGTATGAACGACGTCTCGGCAGCTCGCCCCTGAGCTTTGAAGCTATCGCGATACCATTCTGTCTAAAAATTATTCCTTCCCATCGTTGAAGTCCCAATCCAATGGCAAGCTCAGAACTTTCCCAGCACGACGGCGGGACCGGGTCGGCTGCCCGGCCACACGGAAGCTCTGCTTTGCCGACCGAACCCCTGTCCACTGTAACGCTCTTTTGAGCTTCTCTCGTTCCCGAGACCCTGTCTCGTCACACATCAAACATCGTGCATGACGTTCCCTGTCGCTCGCGCGAGTGAGAGAGGGAAGGGAGAACGTGGAATGGACCAACTGCATGCCTGGGGTGCACACACCGCACATCACGCAGCACGCGGGAAAAACGCCCGTTGTGACTTGTTAGGAAAAGAGGAGAGAGGTCTGAGGCTCTGTTTATTTTTATTATTTTGTTTTTGTTTCCTCGGTCGTACCGGCCCAATATGGTGGGGAGGACGCGGCCGGTGTTCCCACCCGAAACGTGGACACCGTGGACACCGTCGTTCCCTTTCTGGTGCTCTCCGTCGTCACGGTCACGGCTGGTGTAGCCGCCCAGCCTTTTTTTATCAGCCCCCGGCCGAACAACATCTCACTTCCCCTTTTATTTGCCACGCTACCCAAATGTTTCGTGCTTTGTTTGGAAACAATTTCTCATTTCCGAATTGAGATCTGAAACAAGGTTTCGGGAGTTGTTCTCAAACGGCGGGGGAAGATTCTGTATAACTTGCAGAGCTGCCCCGGTTTTTGCTTGTGTTTGAGGTTGTTGGGACCATCAGCCACCAAGACAACTGCACCGGCCAACCGGGTCAAGTCAGCCTTCCTTCCCACGCCCGACTCCGCATCTTGGTGGTCGTTCATAAGTGGCCTCGACAACGCCACTTCCGTACCTGGGATTTCCTTCTCTTCTTTGGCCCTTTCATTCAGGCTCCTAAGCTGTCCGAACACGCCGCCATCATGTCGTCTTCTCCGTGCCTGAGGACTCGCATCTCCTCGCCCCTAGAGGCCGGGCCGTCCATCGCGAACGGCCACCATCTCCCCGGAAACGTCACGGAGGCCCTCGAGTATGCCTCGAAGCGCCTGAGGAGGAAAGCCGCACACATCAAGCTCCTGGTGGTCCGCCGGGATTATCAGATCCCGACCTCGCCCACCTTTTCGACATTCACTCCCGGTCCGCTTCCTGTCTCGGCCGTCAGCACACCATCCCGGACCGTCTTCCCCCCTGTTTCAAGGATCGAAGCTCTCAAGCAGCTCATCCGACCCAGCAACCCTTCAGGAGAAGGGCAAATACGTGAAAGGATAGTCCACGCTCACCTAGACCAACTCCGCAATGGTACTGCCTCGCCTGCCTTCAGTGAGGCTTCCGCTTTTTCAGCCTCGACCGTCTCATCGGCATCGACGACCGATTCGACGTTCAGCCAGCAAAGGTCACGGTGGCCGGGCAGCCCGACGCCATATGGGAGTGTACCCGTGACACCCGCAACTCCCTTCACCATCATGTCGTCATTGTCTGGGTCAGAGGCCAGCAACATGACTCACTTTGGCACCAAGCTTGTTTACGCGCACCCGTTGAGCCCTCGGGAAGAGAAGAGTCTTTCTCAAGCACTGGAGAAGGCGGCTAAGAAGTTCAAGCTTGAGTATGTGTTCGGTCTCAGTCAGGATGTACGATGTGGTACACAATACTAACACATTGATAGTCCCAGCTGGCTTCCACAAGCGGTATCCCCTTCAACGCTTGGGCTCCCAGTCGACTTGGTCTTGAAGTCTACTACGCAAAACGAAGTCCTCTTCACCTCAGAGCACCTCACTCTCCTCTCTCTCGACCACCTGTACACCTTCCGCGCGGCCCTGCAGGCCTACGCACGATCAAAGGCTGTCTGCCGGCTCGAGGACGCTGTCGACGAGCTGCGACGACTCTTCCTCGCGAATGGCCGCCGTGCTGTGCGGAAGAGTGCCCTCCTGGCCGCCTTCCGGTGGCTCGACCCGCTCAACGACGCCGCGCTGGCCGATGTCTGCCGCATGTACGAGCGGGCGTATGGGGGGATCGAGAGGGAAAACGGGGTTGAGAATGATGTTGACCCCACACCGGGGTGGCCGCTGTGTGACACCAAGCGCAGCTCGGGTAATACCGAAGGGTCGCTTGGAAGCAGGACGAAAACACCCACGCCCACGCCCGGATCTATTTCACGTAGCCTCGCTCGTGAAGCCACACCTCCATCTCAAGATGAAGAACCGGAACCGGAGCTCCAGGTTCTCGATCTCACCAATGCCCTCGACAAGGAACTCCTGCTTTCTAGCCACGATCTACACCCTGACGACCGCTCGGACCTCGACGACATCGAAGCCTGGTACCGTGAAATCGAACTCCAACAAGAAGACAACAGCCCTACACCCGAAATTGAAATCAGCATAACCCCCTCTGAGGCTCCAGAAATCGTCGAAATCCCGCCACCACCCTGCACACCACCTCCTCCGCCACCGACATCTGCGACCTACCGCAACCGTCCATGGCATCAGCCCGAAGAACCTAGCCTCTCTGAAATGCTCCGCACCACACCGCGTCTACGTCCGCCACCACCGGGACGTTCGCTTGCGCTCAAGCTGCAGACGACATTTGAGAAGCCAACGGCAGTAGGGAAAAAGGAACTGTTGGGTGTGGGGAAACAACAGGGGTCTCAGGCGGGGAATAAGGGGCAGGATGAGGAGGAGGAAGAGGAAGAACTCACGGCGCGCCCACGCAGCGCAATCAAGTCATTCTCTAACGCGCGATGGACGGTGGCACATGGAAATGGAAGCGCCGCAGCGACAATTGATGAGATGCTGCACGGTGGAGCGTCATCCTCATCAACCTCGCTCGACCAAAGTCAGAATCAGGTCCCGATCCGCGTATCTCTTCATGGTGATAGTGATGAGAGGCGCTCACGGGTCTCCGGCTTTGGACTGATTCGGGGCGGGTTGGGGTCACCTGGACTTCGCGGGTCAGAGAACGATTTGCAATCACCGCAGTCTTTTCTTCAGTCGCCGGAGGAGAGGGTCGGGCCGATGACGCCGAACGGGTATGATGATATTTCGCCTATTACGAGAGGGGAATGGGGGTTTTTGATGTTTGGGAAGGGGAAGACGGGAGGTGTGGAGATGTGTTAAGACACTCGCTTGCTCGCTTGCTCGAATGTTTTGGGCGATTTTGCCGTTTCTTCCAAGCTGTATATACCTTTTTTACTGGGCAGATATTTCTGACACTTTGATATTCTTCCTAAAAGAACGGTGGATGCGTCACACGCAAATGGGAAGGGACAATTTGAAGCTTCATAATTTGGGTATCAATTTTAAATTACTTCCATCCATTACTTTCCGTGCCATTCAAATCACAACCCGCTACCCTCCAACAAACAGTCACACACCTCTCAGATCCATACCTCGGGATCGATCCACCTACCACCCATACCGACCAGCCGCATCCCTCTGGTTGTTCTTGGCCCGCGCAAAACTCTCCTCCAACGCCTCCCGATTACTCTGCGCCATGTTGACAACCTGCCGCAGGCTATGCTTGCCTGGGGCGATCGAGCGCACCGGGTTGTGCGCCTGCGCCTGGGCGGCGTCAGAGGTGCGGAAGGCTTCGTTGTGAGCGTATTCGCGTTCCATGTTGAAGGATATGACTTTGGCGTTGGGGGGTAGGAAGGAGGAGGAGTTGGCAGAAGAAGTGCCGGATGTGGGCTCACGACCGAACAGTTCGCGGCGCGCGGCGCGGGAGAGGTTGCTGGTTAAGGAGGCGAGCGAGTGCGGGTCGTCTTGGGGTGGTTCTTGTTGGTGTTGTGGTGGGTAGTGGTCGGTTGGTTGTTGGGGTTCGTACGATGGGTAGGCTGAGGTCACGTCGCTTTCGTCTCCTTCTGGATGTTCGGAGGTGGTGAAAAGCGGTTCGTAGGCGCTTGTGGATTGCTCGGTCGTGGTAGTCGCGACGGGCTCGTCCTCGCCCATGGAGAAGAGGGAGATTTTCTTCTTGGGAGCCGGGGATGCAGCACTTGGCACTTCTGCCGATGCTTCTGCCGTTGCGACCGTCGAAACACCATTCTGGGGCGCGGCTGCACCAGGTGATGGCCTGGGAGCTGCTGGATGCCCATCCTTCTTCTTGTTCTTAGCCGGAGCCTTTTTCCTCGCCACGGAGAGGGGCTTGAACATGAGCGGCTTGCCCACGAGTTTCACCTCCTCTGCCGGCTTTTGGCCTTCTGGTATCGAGGGACCATCACGGGCGTTAGAGCTCGGCGCGGGGAGGTTTAGTCCCGACGCCGAGGCCGTTCCTTCGTCCCCAAAGCCTGATGTTGCATTTTCCTCATTACCACCTCGAACAAACGCTGGCTCGGCGCCGGTGCGCAGATGTACCCCGGGCGCGGGCACTGTGCCCCATCTACTTTCGGCCGCAGCGGACGCTATGGCAGCGGTCTTTTTGGGTGGTGGCAAAAAAGAGCCTAGACTGCTGAACCTGCTTCCTCCGGCTGTCTTGACGCGCTTCGCGGGGGGCTGCTCGTCTTCGGCGTTGGAATCGGGCGCATCTGCCGCTGTTGAGAGGCTGATGACTATTTTTCCGGCGCCGGACGAACGGTTGAGTAGTTTCTGAAATGGCTTCTTCGATGTAAGGTTTGACGCTGACGATGCTGCAGCAGCGGGAGTCGGCTTCTGTGGGACAGATTCGGTCTCGGATTCCGAGTCGGAGTAGTCGACTAGGCCCATTTTAACGGCCTTTCGTTATTGATTCTGTGAGGTATTGTGATTATCGGATTGTCGGTGCAAAAGGTGGATGAGTGAGGAGGTTGAGGTTGATGGAGGTTGTTTTCTTTACCCAAGTTTGGAAAGGCTCAAGATCGAAACGGGAGCGCCAAGACAGTGAAGGCAGGCGATTTTGCCAAGCCTTTTCCTTCGAAGGCGGTCTCGTGTTCATGTACTGCACAGGTACCTATGCTTACCAATGAAAGCTCCTGTATGCTTTTAATTGGTTAATAACTTTGTTTGGTACTTTTATTTGTAATTCTCACTTAGATTTAGTTATATCATATTCTTCTTCACCTTCCTTTTGCTTCCTACTTGAAGTTTCCTGTTCATTCATGTTCAATCAGTTACTTATATGGTACTTATCGTGAGCCCCACTAGCTTGCTTGTGCAGCGCCGTTTCAACCGCAGGCGCTGAGGAAACGCCCCCCACTCACCAACACCAGACAACATTACGCCAACCAGGCCTCAACAAATATCGATGCTCAGGTTGGGGCTCACTTTGATGTTCGCCAGCAAGTGGCTTCAAGAGTTTCTTGGTTTTCAAGGCCCATCATATTGAATATCGAGCTCCCTGGCTGTGACAATCACGGGTCTCATTTCTTTGGCAGTTGTCGCCGGCCGACAACCCCGATCTTCGCCAGTCTTCTCACGGACCCTTCATCCCCAGCGGCCGCGACTATGTCGGTGATTCAATTAGAGGAGTATGTGCTGCTAAATTCATTTCCTCTGGCTTCATGAATATCATATCTAACCTAACCTAGCCTGGTCTTGTACCAACTACGGACAAGCTATCTCAACGATGTTGCCGACGGTGTTGGAGAACGCCTCTTCACGTTAAATGAAGGCTTTCTGAATTCGGCCCCTTTCAAGGCCGCCGGATGGCGCACCAACCCTACCCTCATCAAGCGAACTCACTCACCCCCAATCCCAACAGCAGTCGCCTCTGAGTATTTCCAGGCCCCGCGACGCGCCGGGTTGACCCTCGAGGATGAAGGCGAGGAAGCCGGTCTGTTCTCGGGCAGCGTAGCCGAGGCTGTGGGTCCCAGCATGGCCACAAAGCGCCGTCGTCGACGAGAACACATGGAAGAGGATGACAGCAGTGACCTCAGCGACGAGAGCGACGACGAGCTGGACCAGCGCGCCGCCCAGCAGATCAAGTTCGCGAAGATGCCGGTGAGGAACCGCTCGGGGTCTTCACCGCTCCAGTCGTCCAACCTACGCCAGGCTACGACCACGTCGTCCCCCCGGCCGAGCACAAGGCGGGGGTCCCAGTCTGCGCTTGAGATTGTTAAAGAAAGGGCCCGGCGCGATACCGTCACGAGCAGCGAAATGTCCTCGGAAAACGAGTTCGACGCCTCTGGATTCCACAAGCACCGGGAAGCAGCGCGGGCCGCTGCCGCCCGGGCCCAGAAGCTATCGGCCAAGCTCAACACGGAACCTACTGAGGGCATGGGACTGCTGGGGGCAGATCTTGCGGGGGCGGAGGAGGATGATGATTCCGACGCCTCGGACTTGTCATCGGCCATTCTCCCCAGTGTCGGCTCGGCATCTATTTTAGAGGCGGTCAAGAACCCGCTGAATGCGTCGCTGACAACCACCCAGGTGGTGGGCACTCCGCCCCGTGTGTATGCGAGGAGATCCACGATACGCAGGTCCGCCATGCCGATTCCATTGCATCGGCCCGTTGGCGACTTGCCACCGCCACGGCCGATGAGCACAATCCGGCCCTTGAGCATGGCGCAGCCAAAGAGTCTGCTCTCCACGGCGTTAAAGGTCAAGAAGACAAAGCCAACTCTTCCTTTCGACAGCTTTGCCTCGCTCTCGGGACAGGGCGACCCGAATCCGATCATGCTCCGCATATACGCACCCTTCTCGGACACACCCTCTCGGCCATTCGAGGTCCTCATCCGGAGAAGCGTTCACCACGGCGAAGGTGGAGACCGACCTGTCGCAGTGGCCGATCTGATCGGGTTGAGCCTCTGGCGCTACAACGAGGAGAAGCGGCAACCGGCGCTGCCCAGCGACAAGCTCAATGTGAATTGGTGGACCCTACGCATGGTGGAAGAAGACGGCGAGATTGACGACGATTTCCCACCTCTGGAGCGCAAGAAGGGACTGCTCACGTACACTGTCAACAACAAGGCTGGCCGCGCCCGGTCGAACTCGAGACTCTACGACATCTTCGGCCTAGTCCAGGCCTCGCCGGATGAGTTTGAGGACAACAAGCGCAGTACGCCACAGTTTGATCAGGAGGCTGAGGCGGCTGAAAACAGCAACAACATCATCGAAGAGGAAGACAAGGACGCGACACCACGAAACACACCGCGGCCCGATGCTATGGCCCTGCCACCAGACCGCCCACGGGAAAACCCGCTTCTGAACACCGCATACCGCGCAAATACCACCATATTCGCGGATGCGCCGCAGTCCACTCAGCCAGCAAACGTCTCGTCACGCGGAGAGAAGAGGCTCTTGCGCATCCACATCCATTCGTCAGATGTCGCGCCCGGCCAAATGATCACCCTCGATGTGAACACCGACACGTGGCTGGCCGAGGTCCTCGACATTGCTTGCCGAAAACGACAGCTCGACAAGGCCAACCACGTCCTGAAGCTCCCCAACTCCGGAACGATCGTGCTCCTAGACCGTACCGTGGCCTCGCTCGGCAATGTAACAGACCTGGACCTCCACCGACGCCGTTTCGCCACCGACGGGCCCTTGATGACCGGGTCGCTGAGCAGTTCGTCGCCCCGGCCGCACCTCTTCACCGAGAACGCCAGCTGGACCAAGGGCAAGAAGGGCAAACTCATGGGCACGCACCCGCTGGCCAAGGAGGTGGCGAAACAGGAGGAACTCGGGGTCGCGCCGAGCTACAGGAAGTACACGGTCTGGCGGAAGCAGGCGATGCGGTTGCTCTCGGAGAAGCTGTTTGCCATTGATGGCGAGTATGTTCACATCATGCCGGCGTCGGGGGGGAAGCTGTCCGAGGGCGATGGGAAGTCTACGACCGTCCACTTCAGTAATGTGGTTGGTTGTAAGGTCTCGCGGAAACATCCTACGAATTTCAAGGTATGTGAAAAAGAAAATGAAAAAACACAAACAAGTCTTGTCATAGGATTCTCGGCTCGTTGCAGGTTCACACTAACGGAAAAACTTTCTACCTCACAGTTGGTCGTATACAAGTCAACGGAGAGCAAGCGGTATGACTTTGTCACCAGCAGTGCAGAATATGCGGCCGAGATTGTCACTGAGCTCAAGAAGGGCATCTCGCCATACCGGGAGGTCTGAGCCGCGCCTGCTACATCGCATTTATCTTGCCCGGGGCGAGTCGAAGACAAAGTTGATGCCAGCGCTTGTCCGAGTGCAGCTTGAGGTGGATGTTGCGTGACATTGCGTGTCCTCGGCCAAAGCGTCGAGTCGAAATCTCTCGCCCCATAGTTACCTCGGGAGTACTGGGTAATTGCGTGTAACGGATCGACATATCCATTATTACGGCATTTCACCCGTGTTATGCACTTCCCCAACCACGCAATTCCTCTGCGCCGCGTTCCCCGTGTTTTCATTCCCCTCCCTGAATCAACATTTACCACATTATAGAATCGAACGATTCACGAGAAGGACCAAACGTGCCTATGTTATACACTGCAGGGAGCGGGTACCGAGCTCGACACTTCTGTGATAACTGTGCAAATATGCGGCTCATTATTTCCAATGTATGTACGTACAGTACACTCCAATATGACCTCACTTAGACCCCAGACGGCCGGGCGACAAACTCAGCCACAAAGGTGTCGCAACACACGCAGGGACATCAAGCCGCTATGGCTTTCTGACCGCGCGCCACCGTCGGGAGCCGCCAAATTACTTCCGGGCGATCCTGGGGGGATATCCGATGCAAGGTCTGTTTGTCTACTTTCTGAGCAGCCGGTTTCGTGGCTAGAGGGTTGAGTTCCCGTGTTTCGATCTCTCGGGATATTGCTTTCCAAAAGACGTCAGTCAACCCTGAAAGAAAGATGTCCTCCATGGCTTCCAAAATTCGCTGTGCTCAGGCCCCCTGCTATAACATGCCATGAAGCTCTCTTTGCCCACGTGGCACGCAGCGTTCAAGCGGCATAGCGAACGAACCATGTCCCCGTGTTCCGTGTCCCGTATACATTATACGTTTCAAGTATGACGCGTGGGTGCTCTGCTGCTCTGTTCCTGTCCACCCGAGCCGCCGCTCTCCTTGCCTTGCAAATTCCACGGACTGCGGAATGTGGCGTGTTTGCGTCGGTTCTTCTGCACGTTTGCATGAAGGCTGGTGGGAATTGGGGGGCGTCTCAAGGCCCTTTTACGTCTGATCTTTGCCGCGTTTTTTTTTTTTTGCTTGCTCTCTCGTTCCGCGTAACATTCTTGCGCCTGGTTTAGTAGGTATTACGTACGTGAGTGAGTCTTTCGGCCCGGCTGGGGAGAGAGGGCCTGGGTATAAAAAGGGGTGGTTTGCTGTTCGTGTTTAACTTGGAAAAGTTTTCTTCTTTCTTTTTATGTTCTAGGTTTTACTCCTTACTAATAAGTCTATCGTCTCATCCTCTTCAAGTCGTATCCAAGTATTATCATCACACCAACCATCAAAATGCGCACCTTCGCTATTCTCGCTACTATCGTCGGCCTGGCCGCGGTATGTTCTCTTCTCTTTCACTTACCCCTTTCTCGTAACACTACAATCGTTTTATGTACGCATGGAGGTACATCCCAAACTAACTCTAACCCTCCCCTCCAGGCCCAAAGCACAACAACCACCACGGTCCCCGCCGTAGCCAGCTCCGCGACCTCCGCACTCGGCAGCGCCCTCAGCACCACCGACAGCTCCGCAATCGCCTCCCTCTCCAGCTCGCTGTCCTCGGCCCTCTCCTCTGCCAACTCGGCCGCCTCGTCTGGCATCAGCTCCATCACCAGCGACGCCTCCAGCGCCATAGCCAGTCTCTCGTCCGAGCTGTCCACCGCTACGGGGCCCGCCCGCTCGTCCATCAGCTCCGAGCTGGCTAGTATTACCAGCTCGGCCAAGTCTGCGGCGAGCTCGGCAGCCAGCTCGGCGACCAGCGAGGCTGGAGCTACTACTACTAGCGCGACGGACACCGGGAATGCGGCCGCTGCGAGGCAGACGGCTGCGGTTATGGGGTTGGGCGCGCTGTTTGGGGGCATGGTGGCGTTTGCTAACTTGTGATTGTTTGTTTGTTGGTGTCGTTTTGTTGCGAGCTGGGTTTTGAGGGGAAACAAGTTCTTTTTCTTTCTATGGCGTCGAGGATACAACGTGGAGAAATGAGTGGGAATTGTGTGTGGGTGGGATATTCTGGGACAAGCTCAAGGCGATGATGGGTATGGATGGCAAGGAACCAATAATCGATAATTAGTGTCAGGGGCTGAAAAGGACAGAGTTTCACCAGGGATATGGGCGTGGCCGGTGTTCAGGTCAATGCCCCGAGTGGGAGGCGGGATTCAATAACCATTACGACTTCTCTCAATCCTAATCATCTTCATCGATGTTGCTTCCATTTTTATCTCGAAGGCTCGGTATGCCTGCCCGGTTCCCTAGGATCTCTTCCTATTTAAAGGAATAGGAAGCAAAAAGCTCACAGCCAAGCCTTATCCCCATCCGGAGGGATAGGCGTTGGCAGTTACGAAAAACCGGTGGTTTTTCTTCGCTGGCCGCGGGAATCGAACCCGCGGCCACTTCGATTTACGACGGTAGTTGGCGGGGCCAGCGCCCCTCCCAATACCGCTGCGCCAAACACCGCTGTTTGGCGAATTGGGAGGAGATGGTAACAGGAGCAGCGGGCTGGGGACTTATATCCTCTAGGCGGAGGGAAAGTGCGGCGAGTTGGTCCTTGGTGCCTCAGGTAGTAGGCAGTGGAGAGGTATTACCTAGGTATCTCGATAAGAAACTCTATCTCAGCTTTCCATACTAATAAGCTCTATCCGCAGCTTTGTAAAGAGTGAGAGATAGAGAAACCAAACATTGACCTTCATGCTCTTCAATGACCTGAGGGAATAACGAAATGAAAGACACATGACGCGGATAAAGCACAATTCCACATCATGTCCGCCCATACCGTTACCATCAGTTGATGTCAATGCATAAGCCGAGGTATTGGGTAAATTTACATACCTACTCGCGTAACACTGCGTAAGACACAGACAACCCCAACGAAAACCATCTCGGCAGACCGCCCGGTTGGAACACCGGTCACATGTATGCGTGTCTCTGCTTTGTGTGACCGGAGATGCGAGCAAAAAGCGTTCAACGTCGATCTATTCTAGCCCGCCGAATCTAAGTCAAAGCCTCGGAGCACGAAGCCGCAGTGCATGCCATATATGGAACGCCTAACCGCTCTTCTTCCGGGTATCATTCCACAGCGCATCAACCACCTGAAAAATCGCCGTCACGTCCCGCATGATCTTCTCATCCACCTTTCCTCCTAGCCGCCGCTGCATCTTGTCCGGGTGCCACCGAACACGCTCCTCCTTTAGCTGCGCAGCAAACTCTTTCTCCCCTAGCTCCTCCAACCCGATCCCATTCACAAAAAATGCTCTGACCGCTTCCCCATCCACTCCTTCGTCGCCGTAGCCCCGGGTAGAACCCCCAGAGGAAATGATCGGCCAGGGGATCTTCTCCTTCAAGAGCCCAGCATCCCCATCTTCACCACCACCACCACCAGCAGTTCCTTTCCCCCCTTCACTTTCCCACACTGTCCACCGCTCCAGATATTTCTCCCACCTTTCCCGCCACCCCCGTCTCTTCCTCCTTTCCTCCCCGCGCCGCAGACTCCTCTCCATCTCCCGGTTCACGCGCGCCCTCTCCTCGGCCTTCTCCCGTTCCTCCTCCTGCTCCCGTTGCCTTCGCGCCCGCGCCTCCATTAAACCCGCGTGCGTCTTCTCCCACATTTTCTGCCGCACGTACGCGGCGTACTCATCCTCTGTCATCTGCTCGAGCATGCCACCCGCGCCAGTACCGCCGGAGGCAGTATGAGGGGGCGCGTAGATGTGGATGGGCTGGCCGTAGACGGATTCCCAGTAGGCGGCGCCTTCATCGTCGGCCATAGCGTCGAAAAGGGATTCGCGGAATGCGGTGGTGGGGGAGAGAGGGGGGTCGTTTTCGGGTTCGGGCGCGGAGTCGGGCCGGGAGGGATGGCTGCGGCGTCGCCGCCGGTGGCGGTGGTGGTGTCTGTGATGCCGACGGGAGCGTTGCGAGGAGGAGTTGTCACCGTCGCGGATGTAGTCGGCATCGCCGTGTTTGCGCCGGTGTCGCGCTCGTTCTGTGAACTTATCGCGCTCCCGGCTACGGTCTCGGGTTCGGTGCGAGCGGCTTTCGTCATCATGGCCGTCTTCGTCTCGATGTCGGTGATGGCGATGGCGACGGTAGCGATCATCGTCTTCATCGTCCTCATCCCGCTCGCGCCGTCGCGATGATCTTGACGATGAGGATTTGAAGCGGAACTTGGTCGCTTTTGGTTCCCGTGGGCCGTAATCCGCTTCGTCTGATTTGCCCTTTGCGCCATCCTCGTCATTTATTGATGGCTCGCGGCTGTCTCTTCGAGGTTGACGGGGGCCCGTGGGCGTCATTGAGCGGTCGCGCCTGGGGTCTCTCGGCGCGTCGGCCGCATTGTTTTGTTCTGGGGGATTGATCGAAGAGAGAATGCGCCGCCGCTTGGGCGATCGAGGCGACTCCATCCCTCCGTCCCAATGTTGTTCGCCGCGACGGCGTTGGATGAGGTTGAGATTTTGTTGAGCCGCCGACAAGTGACGTCGGTGGAGTTTTCGTTGTGATTTGAACTGTTTGTTAACAAATGGCCTCATTTAATGGCAGCATCAGCTGCAAAGAAATTGAGTTTCACTAACAGAAGATACATTGACTAATCATATTGCCAAGGCTATATTTTGTGGGTCCAATTAAGCACGACCCCGCCATACCCGCCCGGTGCCCACCACCGATCCTGCTCGGCTTCCCAGGCCTTGCCTGCCAGTCGCCCGATCAAGGAATAATGCTTTCCCTGCAAGTCATGGATAAGCCTTGGAGCAACTTCCTCGTTTATCTAGTGTTCGGTTGCGATACCCGGTAGTCACTACCAGCATCCACCTATGTTTCCTCTCAGCGCTCAGTGCCTAGGGGGTAAAAAGGTAAAAAGGTAAAAACAAGGGTCAGCAAGGGTCAGCACCATTGAACCCATCCTGTCCTCTCCGACTCGGGCGGCCATTATCTATCGGGGGCCGCCAACTGTTTTATATCCGGAGCAAGTTTCTCGTTATTGAACTCTTCATCCTCGTCTCTCAGTTTCTCCTTGCGACTTGCCACTTTCTTCCACGGGGTTTGATGAGCCCCCTGCAATTTATCCTCCACCCTCGGAGGTACCTCCGTAATTATCTCTTCTTCTCCCATCTTCCGATAAAAGCCCTACCTGGGTGGCAACAAAGACGTTGTCTCAATCCAGCCACCCAACCGTCTCCCAGACCAGTTCGCCCATTCCGAGATCCGCCGGGTCAGGCGTGCGCCGTGCATCAAACTGCGGACCCCTGTAACGGGGACCCGACAGAGCGGGTGATGTAACGTCGCTAGGGACGGGACGAGAAAATAGCTTCGTCCCCAGGTTCGGAATCGCCGCCGACGTATTCGCATCCGGACTGTGGACACATCAATCATCGCTGTCCAACAGCCCGTCTTCGTCGAGTGCGCCGGTCTCGGAATTGAAAACGGATTTTTGCCCTCGACCAACACAGCCCACCGTCGCACTCCCAGAAACGTTTTGCGTTACTACCGGCCCCCAACCCTGGTGTTTTGGGGGCTGTTTCGGACATTGCGCTCTGAGGCGAAAAGTCACACCAAAAGGCATGCACGGTTGGCTGCCGGCTGCGTGACGACGCACCAAAAAAAAATCTTCCGACCCTTGATGAGGAAGTCTACTAGTTGATTGACACGTTGGCTGCAAGTCAGGCAAAAGCAAGCAATTGCAACTGGACAGCAGAGAAATGTGAGACATAACGGCGGGTCACGCATACTTTAGTTGGGTTGTCCACCGATGTGCTTTGGAGGTGAGCAAACCATTGTTATGTGTTCCGTTTCCCGTTATCTGACTGACAAGACCTAATGTTATTTGTTGTTGTTTTCTTATTTTTCTTTTCGTGTTATGTTTCGGGTCGGATAACCCACAACCCGTGGTTGTGTATCAGGGTTGATGGGTGGGGGATTGACTCCCGTTGTTCCGTATGGAACTCATATCGCCTTGCCTCAGCTCAACGACTTATTGTCAACTCATTACCTGAGGCTGCACGTATGATTTTCTCTCTCTTTGAAACAAGGTGATAACTTGCTAATGGCCACCTACCGACATCACACGGGGGAGCGTGGATCCTTAACCGCTCTCTGATTCCTGGACTGCGTATGGCTGAAAAGGGAAAGAGGGGACATCTCTCCCAAACCCCCAGGAAGCTTGATGGTTGGTTCCAAGGGTCACCCATAGTGTCTTAGCTGACGCTACGCGGGACGGGAGCGGTGACATGCCTCAGCGAGATGCTTTGCCCTTTTCTTCAAGTACAGCGTGCTGGGGGAAAGGGCCGAGTCTTTTTGGTGTCGGTAAAAAATCAAATCAACCTATCATGTTACGTCCGGAGTGGGACTCTCCTCCGATCGGCCAGTCGTTGCTCGGTAGGTAGGAATTATACGGAAAACCCTGGCTGAGGGGTTTTTCAAAGTTGAAAGTTCTGTTTCCGGTTGGCTCCTTTCTTTTTTTCTGTCGTCTTTTCCCATCCTTCGACCTTACCCATATGTGACGTCTTATTCCCCCCACACTATCCCCCGTTCCTTCTGTCCGAAGGCCCCCCGCGCGGCCCGTGGGGTGGGTAGGAACGACCGAAGGAGGAGGAAAAGAACAACAAACTTGGGTGGCACACGACCCGGCGTTGCTGCAGCGGAGTGCCTAACGTAGTGCGCACGCTGCAGGTAGTTCTGTCGTGTCTGTGGGGGCTCGATGCACCAGCGTTACCGCGTGATCGCCAAGGCAGCCGAGCAAGGTTGCCTGCTGTTGTTGCTGTTGTTATTGTTATGTTATGTACTTGGCCTGCGGGCCTGGGAGGGAGCGGGAAAAAAGAGACGCAGTGACGCAGTGCTCTCGGTGTGGGCTTGGCGAATAACGAGTGGGAAGCATCAAAATAGGAATGCCGATAACTAGTATGATGGGCAGCACCGTTGTTTTTTTCCTGGCGGGATGGCTGCGGTCGGTCACAGACGCATATTTGGTTAGGTATATCCCGTATTGGTCCCCCAATTGGGCGAGAGACGACGAGGGGGTGCCCCCTTTCTGGATCATATTTCGGATTTCTGTTTTCGTGGCCTTCCCGTTCGGGACAGCTCCCAGCCTAAGTTAGGCAGCCCGGCACAAACCCGGGGGGCGTGTCCTCGTTTCTGCCCGTCGAGGTTGTTGTGGGACAAAATGCGGATTTGTCCGAGACATACAGATGCTCGGCATGGTTCGAAAACATACCACAGTACACCGCTCAGCCTCTCTTCTATCTCCCTTTTTTCCCTCGAGCATTCAAGTTCCCTGCCAGCGCGGGTAAACCACCCACCACCCATGCATCAGGGTGCGTATCGGGTCGCGTGGAACAAGGTGAAATTGGCCCCCAAGAAACACACAACACACACGCACACGCAGGCGCGCACGCGCTGGGAGCAGCAAAACAACCCCCTCTTCCCCCTCCACCACCCCTCGCCTTGCTTGGGCTCCGATGCGGCTCCCCGCTTTGAGAGGATCCGTCCAGGGGCGTGTGGCGACTTTCTTCGGTGTTGCCCATGTTCCCCACGATCCGGGATCCTCGCGCTCTATTCGTCCATTTCTCTAATAAGATACTCTCTTCCCCTCGGAACCTCGGCGGATGTCGGTATCTGATTCAGCCCCCGAGATGTGACGAAAAGGCCAGGGGGAAATGAAGACGAGAGAACAAGAAGAGGGGGAAATATGACGAATGTGAGAAAAATATGTCGTAAAAGACGAATTGTTTTTCAAACCAATCTGGTATCAAGCAAATGCTCCCGCCGGCCTGCTAGGTATGCGAATGAAAACCGAACAGAATACAAAAGAGAGACGAGGAAAGAAAAATATACACTGATGCCGCCCAAATATACTGAGGGACTAAATAAATAATCCATAACACCAAGTAATACCGGTACGTCGGAGTTGACGCCGAAAAACAAAACGCCTTTCCACCATCTCAGACCCCCCTTGACAGTAGCCCCCAGCGCCCGGATTGAAGGACCTAACCCCTTGAATAAACAAACATCAGATGGACATCCAACCGCATACAAATGCTGAACAACGCCTGGGGGTTGTGTGATTAGTTAGTTGACAAATAATTTCATGCCCATGAGGTGGCTCAAGCCAGATGTTTGTGTGTGCGTGTGTGTGTAAGTGGTATGTATGAATGTGGGTTGGGGGGGAGCATGACAAAATTTGGATAAAAGGACAAATCGGAAGAGACAATAGAAAAGGAGTGTAAAGAAAAGAGAGTGAAAACCAAGACCTAGTGAAGGAAACAGCTTTTTGGTTCATCCCCGAATTTCTATCCGAAAGGAAATAAAGAAAAAGGCCTTTCCTGGTTGCCCAGGCAGATGCTGTAACATTCTCTAATGTAAGAAGTGGGGAGAGTTGATGACAGGAGAAAACCCCGAAAGATTGACAAGAAAAAGAAAGGCGATAACAATGAGTCGAAGCCAATGGTGTATAGCAGACATAAGCCGCGGATATGAATTCCCCAGCAAGTATGGTATATATCGATGCGTCAGTGTCCCATCACCTAGGGCCGCTACCATCCCCCTCTGGACGTGGATCAGTCGCCCACCCGGTCTCGTACGGCAGCCTCCGGGTCGAAACATATGGGTTGTCACCAGAGTGCGGTGGTGGAATGCTCAGTTGCGGCGGTGGGGCGGTTCGGATGGGAGGCGGTGTTGTTGACGGAGTACGAGACTGGTCGAAGCGTAATGGAGGCAGTCGGGCCGCTCCTAGTGGCGGTGTAACGTGTGGTGAAGGGGGGATCGCAAAAGAGGCATGTGGAGGCAGAGACACAGATCCCAGGCCTGGACCTGTGATAGGTGGAAGGGATGTTGGCGTCATGAGGTTGTAGGAGCTGGTCGGGAGCTGGGGCTCGGAATCCGTCCTCCTCCGCCTTGCTGGGGGTTCAAGCGAAGAATCCCCGTAGGCACCCAAACGTGGGGGGTGCGGCTGCGAGAGCGGATGGAGGTGAGGGGAGTAGAACGGAGGTTGGTGATGGTGCTGTCTGGGGGAGTGCCCGTGAGAAGGGACTGGCGGAGGCTGGTGAAGCAAGGTGCTGCCCTCAGAGGCGGAAGGCCCTTCCGCAGTCCTGAGCATTGGGCTGGCCGGTTCCCGATCGATCCACTCCTGGCCGTTGGGCATCCGAGAAATGATATCCCGTAGCCGGTTCCGGCTCTCCCGGTAGAAGTCTCGGTCGGCCTCGAGGTCCTGACAATGTTTGACGAGGGCCTCGTTCTTTCGCTCCAGGTCCCGATTCTCGTTCTCCAATTTCTGAAATTCCTCCTGTTGCTCTCTCTCTCGCTCCTTCTTCCGCTGCCGGAACCTTGCTGATGCCCCGGCGTTACGCTGGCGTTTCTGGTCTGCCTGACGAGATCCCTGATGTACATCGACCGCGACCACAATCTCCTCGCCGTGCCGCGGGGTGATAGCCAGAAACGGCTGGCCCTCTACCATCGGGAGGTTCCTCGCTGCACCGCTGGACATGGAGCCGAGAAGATTGGATCCCCATCTCGAATCTTCCGGAGCCGCTGGAGTACTAAATGAATGGCTGGGCGGGAGCGGAGCCGCGAATGGAGGGCCAGAGAGAACGGGGCGTCCACTATGCTCGCGCTTATGGCCTGCTGTCTGTAGTAGCTCGTTCGGAGGTGCCGGGGATACGCCGTGGCTCAGGTTGGGATGCGACAGCGATCTGGACAGGCCAGATGTCGGCCGGGTCGTCGGGGGGTCCGTCGGGCCATGTTCAGGAGCTGAGTTCCGTAGATGCGGCGAAGACCCCAGGGGGGAAGGCACGTTGCCATGTATTTGGGTTTCATGAGGCCCTCTTGGGACAGGCGGCGGCAGGCTACCTACGAAATGTTGGCTTTCGACCGTCCTCATCGCAGCTCGGCTCAGACTCGCAGTCCGTGGAGACTTGGGCGTCAAAATCCGCCTCGCGGCCACAGGATACGGATGCATAGATTGGGGCGACCCTCGGTCTGCCGACGCCGACGTCGATGGGACCGCGGGGGACGTCGTGGGAGGGGCAACGTGGGCGGTTGATCGGGGCGTCGAAGAGCCGGAAGCTTGGTAGACGAAATGGTGGGAAGGCGATCGGTCCGCCCCGTATTGACCCATTGCCATGCTCGACTGCGAGCCTCCTCCCGTTGACGAAGGCTGTGGTCGAGATGAAGAGTGCTGCTGCCCTGCGGGGCTGTCTCCGTATGAGCTAGCTGGGTTAAAGCCGCCGCGCGTGTCCACCACCCGGTTTGCGCCCTGTTGATTGATCGTCTCGCTCTGAGCTAAGCCAAAGCTAACGGGGTCACGATGTGGCGTGGCTCTCGGGCCATCTTGCTGGTCATGAGTCTGTCGAAGCGGGGGAGAGGACGCGGGCTTTCCTGCCTCTGTCGGAGACCGGGAAGAATGACGGGAGATGGCACGAGGCGCCGAGTCCCCTTGTGACATCGCGGCCTGATCCCCTTCGTTATTGTACCGTGGAGGGTGCTGACATGGACCTGAGCGGGCCGTCCCAGGAGCGACTTCCCGCGTGGATCCTTGATTGCAGGGCGCCGCCAACTGGCGCTGCAAGGAGACAGCACCTGCCCAGCTCCGCGCCGGTTCTTGGACCCGCGACAGATTCGACTGGATCGCCACAGTGAGAGATCGGGGTCCAGAACGGCGACGTGCGCGCTTCTCTGCAGTTGTGAGCAAGCCGGGAAGCCCGGACGGCAGCGTCAGCAGCGTCGGCAGCGTCGGCGACGGAGTGCGTTGTTGTGCAACGGGGGGTATCACCTCGCCAAATGCTCGGGGCAGAGAGGCCACGGCCACGTTGACAGCAGACGGAGGGTGGAAGGATGACGATGCGAAGCTGCTGCGCAGCTGGGAAAATTGTCCAGAGAAATATGCTGGTAACGTGTCTGGGGCTCCAAGGGTAGTGAGGTGTGCTTGCTTGCGTCAGGTTAAGCCAAGTGTTCCACACAGGCCGGTGAATCCGTGCCGCCAGTTAATCGAACCGGGGGAAAGCAAGTCGTCAGACGTGAGCCAGGGCCAAGAAGAGGTGCCAAAGTGAGGGCCAGCGATCGACGCTCAAATCGTTGTTGTGATGGGCCGGGGACTCGTATGCTACGGCTCGAAAAGCCAGTGGTTACCTCTCTCTCCTCGAGCCGAGTCTGGGACAGCAAATGGGAGCACCGGGCCCGGAGTGGGCCAAGGGGGCTGCCCGGAGACAAATAGTGTACTGGGTGTCCTCTCAACCACACACTCTTGTGTGCAGAGGAGACGCGGTGCCGGCTTTGGACAAGCTTCAAGAGGAGGGGCGAATCCCAGGGTTCTGTTTAGGGTGTGTTCGAAAATTTCGGCGGCGTCAATGTCTCAGTATCGGAAACCTGCGCTTGCCCTCAGACCGTTGATCTGTTTTGGTATTTTCTTTCACTTTTCTCTGGCGGGGAGAAAAATGATGGATGCGAGCTTACCCCCGAGGCCGTTGAAAGGGAAGAGTTATGGTCGAACTCGGGCCACTGCCAAACGGCGTCATGCTGCAAAGCCATTTAATTATTATTCGGCCCAAGGGGGGGGGGGTTGTCGTAACCCCGGTGCTCTGGGGAAGTGAACGTCCCGCCCGCCGCGGTTGTCCTGATGGAGCCCAAATCACACACCCCTCGATGCCTTGTCTGGAAACTGGGCTCAGCCGTCAAGCTTAGGGCCCGGGGTGCAGAAACTCAACCAGGGCCCCCATGCTGGGCGGATGGTGCTCAGACCACAGCAGGGCTTGGAGGAGTGCTTCCTTCTGGAGATTGGTTGGACACGATAAATCGGCCACGGCCCTGAACTTTCTTATTATTGTTATTATTCGTGGGGTGTGAGTGATATGTAGACGGGGGTGGAGAATGGTTACCTGGCATCCTACGGAGTCCACGACGGTCTTCGCAGAGAAGGTAACCTTTGGGTTCAGACCGCTTGGTAACGGGCCGGCGCCGATTGAGCGGAAATGTGGCTCACATCGCGCCCGCAAGTTGTGAGCGGGCCTTTGCTCGCCTTGAAAATCCATACGGCTAATACAAAAGAGGTAGCATTCAAGCTTGGCACGGTCCCTTGTCCTGGGCCTTTGAAGCGCCCATAACATGACGCGGCGGATATCTCAGCCACAGGTAATACTCAGAAGACATCTTGTACGGAGGATATCAACTCAGAAACGCTAAAAGTTGTCGAGCGAGAGCCGCATCTACCAGACGAGCATGAGCTCGCAGCACTCCTAGCCCTTTGGATATCGCGAGCGATTAGATTTGGTACTCGGGACCCGCGCATGTCCACGCCCACGCCTCGCCGTGGGGCCGTGGGGATGAGCGGTAAGTGAGAGTGTGGGACAGACAAGAATTGTCCTCACCGACACGGCCGCCACGATGCCTTGTGTGGTTGTCGGTGGCAGATCTTTCGCGGCTCCGTGTGAAGGGGAGGCGTTTAGGTTCTGCCACACCCGCCCGCGCTGTTCCGAGAGCATGGCAGCCAGGTGACCTCCCGAACAGTCGGGATTGAGTTGAGTGCCAGGAATCAGGAAACTGCGTCATCCGGGCGTTGGTGGCCCTTTTTTAGACGAGAAGAGGATGCGAGATGAGATCTGCAAAAGCCGAAGGAAAAGATTGTCCGGGGTGGCTCGGAATAACAAGCAATCACCAGGGTTCTGAACTTCTGATCAACCATCAGTTCTTGTTGACGCCGCGCCTTGGAACAGCAAGCTGGCCGATGACGGTGATGACACTGATGAGCACAGGCGCTGCTCTTTCCTGGGCACCTGGGAGAGATGAATTTGGGGGTGTGCCAGGATCCGCCATGCCCGTCATCACCCATGGCCTGAGTTTGACCATGCTGACGCGACAAAGCCGACCCGAGACGGTCCGCACCCCTGTTGCCGAGCTTGTCGAACAAGCTGTGGCCGAAAAAGAGGCATGCGAGTGATCAAAATATTGGAATCCACCGTCGAACCCATCAGAAATCCACGACGGGCCGCGGGGATGAGATGCCGGCCCCCGGTGAAAGCGTTCTTATGGTTCGCGCTGGGATGCTAAGATGGGGTGGGTGGAGCGGTTGCAGACAGAAGAGATTCTTGGTGCCAGATTTTCGTTCTCGTGCAGGTCGAGGGAGTGAGGAGACAAATTCGTATCTGTTGGTGGTTTCCCCCCCCCGGCGTGCCCGGTTCAAAATGAGTGATATTTGGCGGCGTGTTTTGCCAAGTGCTCGTTTTTGTGAGCAATGCGATCAAAAAGGTCACGAATTGGGGACCAACGACACACTCAGCAAGATAAAGTTTTCTCAGCCAGCGTCGACCGCCCCTGAGAAAACGGGCTCCCAAACCGGGTCGAGGCTGCTTCGAATATTTCCGTTGTCTTTCAGAAAACGATCCAACCGCGTGGCAGCTTCCCGATGGGCCAGTCCCTCACTGTCTGCCTGCCCTCAAACCCAAATTTCCGGAAAGCGCATTGTGAAGATTGGCTGCCAACGCCCAAAGTGGCCCCGCTCTGCCCGCGTGGGTTGTGGGCCTGTGAATTCGAACCACAGCAGGAGCGGCGCTGCCGAAGGGGGTTTAGCTCCTTCCCACACAAGCGCCTGCCAGCATGCTCCCGGAAGGCGGAACCGCCTGATGGCCGCTTCGAATAACGTCACCAGATCCACGTTGTATCTCCCGCTTTCACGACAACGGTTCCCCAGCGGGCAGTGCCCCCTTGGTCCCCGACTTGGACCACCAGGCCTGTGCGAGAGCCGAGGAGGAGCAAAAAGCAAAGAAAAGGCCTTGAGAAGCCTGCCGAAAAAGACGAAGGACAACACGGCCCGGCAAGCTGTGGTGAGATTGGATCAGGTGGTGTGCTCTCGAAGGTTCGAAACATTCGCTATCCCACGCTTCTAACCACTCTTGTCTAATACGTGAGCTCATTGCCTTTCTTTTCCAGCTTCCGCTCGCACACTGCAGACTCGCACCCCCATGGAATGTTGAGAATGGTTCAATGGGAATCGAGGCGGGATAGGTTGAGGTTCTTGCAGAACTGTCTTCCTGCGAAGGCCGACAACAGCCTAAGAGCCCTGGGAGAAGCGAACTCTCCAGTCGCTCAACGGAACCACTCCCACCACTTCTCCCACTTGAAAATAATTTCTGCAGCCGGCATTGAAGCCTGATGAAGTTGCCAAGTTCACTTTGGGTTGTCGTGCAGATAATGCCTGTGCACGATTCTCTGGATCCCCGTCCACACAGGCGGGGCGCCGGGAGGCTGCCGATCCGGGCTGCCTTGGCCAGCGCTCATTCGCAGAGAGAGGAAGGGATGCATCCGTTCCCAAGAGAGTGAGGCGGCTGCGAGAGATGTTCTGCGGCCGGCATGCGGCCCCCAGCCGTCGAGCTGGCATGAACAGCGAGGTCGTCGGCAGGCGTTTTCACCTTGTTTTGGTGAGCTGCCGGTTTCGCTAACAGTATTGTGCAGGTGCCGAAGCACCGAGGCTTTCTTCCGTTCGTGGACTCCGAATAACTATTGACAATCCACACCGCTCCGGGTTCGTCATGGCGTGCAGAACCACACACCGACTCGCAAGGGTCCAGGTCGAAACCTGTGCAATGAAGGGCAGGGGTTAGATGCCAGCGCCATGAATCGCCCAAAAACCAACCAGCCCGTTCACCGCATCAAACCCTGGGCTTGAAAATTGCTCAGAATGACGAAGGAGTCGTGGGCCGTGGGCCACGGGAATGGAAGGGAAGGGAAGGATTTACTTGGTAATTGTGGGCGTTTCAAACGGTAGGGATGTGAGCAGGACTTTGAAAAAATGCAAGAAAAGAAGACGAGCAGCCGAAACTGGAAGTTGAGAAAACGACCGCCAAGAGCTCCATCTCTGAGCTGTCTTCACCCTCGCCGCTCCCGTCCCTTTGCGCAACCGGTTCGTCTCGTCCCAAGTTCCAGTGCAAGGGATCCTGGGCTCTTGGATGATGTGATGTCCCCAAAAGAAGAAAATCGATCTAACTTGATGAATGCTGAACAAACCCCCACGGCAAGCTCGATTGAGAGCCCTTGTAAGCGGTCACGGGATCGCTTCCTTCCCGTTTAGTTAAACACTGTTCGTCCACCGGACCACCCTTCTGATCGCTTTCAAATTTGGGTTGCGACGGGAAGAGTAGTCGCTAAACGCCAACCAACTCCCCACGCTCCCCGACACCGAGGGACGAACGGGTGGGCGGGTTGCCATGCCCAACCAGGGCTTCGGGAACAGGTGGCATGCATGAAGGGAAGATGTCTCGGTGCCAGCTCATACGCAATCTTCTCCAGGTCTGCATCGATTGCATGCAGCATGGGTGTGGGGCCCCTTGCATGCGCTGGAATCCGCCGAGAGAAGCCCAACGTTTCCCCATCCGCAGGGACCGACATGGGGCCCGCACACGAAATACCCGAGAAATTGGACCATTTGCCAACGCGGCATCGAACGCCTGCGAGTCAGCGGTCCCGGCGGTTGGCGGTCGTACAGCAGAACGGACCAGAGGATAAGAGAACCCCCGGTTTGGAAGGAAGCTACACTAACTAGTTAGTGTACAGGTAAGTTCTTGAGCTGTCAGATGTGCCAATTCGGGAACCAAGCTGGGACTGTCCGTGAACCGCCATCTGCTGTTCGCAAACGTCAATGACAGGATGGAAGCTCGTCCAACACAGAAAATAATGCAGGGGTGAAATGGGGTTCCGCACCCGTTGTCCGTGCGGTAAAAAATTTTTTTTTTTCGATTTTTCATCCTCGTGGAAATTCTCGTGGCCGGTTCCAAATTGGCATTTCTCCAAAAAGTGCCCGGGCCTTCAAAGAACACCGCCTTTTTGTTTGCGATGTACATGTGGACTAACGTTGGCCCCCAACGCGGACAACGCGGGAAATGGCGCTCGGTGCGCCGCAAATGACGGCCGCAGCAAACCTGAATCATCAATTGGACGTGGCTTGTCGATTTTCAACCGCAAGATAGCCTTTTCCCTGCGTACACCCGGCGGGTGTCGGGACAAATCTTGCCCGTGAATAGCGGGGATGAAATTGGACATCGGGCGTTCCTTCCTTCCGAATCAGTTTGGCCACCACTTACTATGTACGGGAAGGAACTGCGTGTTCAGCGGGATGCTGCAGCCCACTGTACATCCCGTCGACACAGCACGCAAGTCATTCCTCCTCTCATGACTTGACATGTGATATGCATGCATGCTCCCGTTTCTTAACCGATGTGGGGTTGCTTCTCTGTCAGGACGGGGACTTTTCCGCCAACATCTCTTTTTCCCCATCGTTTAGCAGTCGCCACAAACCACAGAATCGGCGGTGCTTTTTGTTTCGGCGCTGGTTTCCTTCCTACACTCCATTTTCAAGATTTGAACGTTCAATTTTGTATCAAAAACCACAATCGAAAGGGGGACAACGGCCCTTACCTCTCACAACTAACCTGTCGTGGCATCTGCTCATCCAAATCGGCCGCTCCCCCCTCACTCCTGCCGGCCTCACGCATGACCCGGACTGCGAGCGGATCGAAGGGGGCACAGTTTGAGGGTCCTCATGTTGTGAGGTCGGGCGGGGCTTGCGCTTCCGCTGCGATGTTGTGGTGGGCCGGCCACCCGGAGGTAAAAGGTGTCCATGGCGGGAATAGAGCGCAAAGTCTGAGGCGCCTGGAGTTCGACTGAAGCATTCCCCTCATAAGCCAGGGCTTTCATTCCCACTCAGGAGTTTCCCTTTCTCAGCTCCTCGGCTGTCCGGCCCTTACCCGGGACGGAATTCCAGGAAAGTTCACCAATATGTTCGACCGGTGTTTTCCCGTCGGCTGTCAACATCAACCGCCGTTGCGGATCTGAGGCCCGTCATCCGTGCTAGACGGTTTGGGGTTGCAACCCCGCGATCCGAGCCGCTCCTTTGGACTCCGCACTGAGGGCCGAGGCCAGATCATAAAATGGCCCGGACCTCTGCTGTTGGTGGCAAGTTGCGGACCGTTTTCTCCCCTGATGTCAATTGTTTGGTGTTTATAATAAGTACCCCCCGCTCGAAGCTTCAGGGCCCACTAAAGTGAAAGCTGGCCTGTGTGGAGTGATCTCACCCGAGACAGCCCCGCCAAAGAACCCCCCTCAAGCTTTCACCATAGCCCCAACAACTACAATGGCCGAGATCCAGAGCCTTCGGCAGTGGTCCGTCAGTGAGCCGTATCTCGAGACGCACTGCTCTCTCGGCGAGGGCCCTTACTACGAGCCCGGAACCAACACCCTCCGCTTCGTCGATATCATCAAGCAGCGGCTGCATACCGTCTCCCTAACAGAAGGCCCTTCCTCGCTAAAGACGCTCCAGTTTTCCGAGGCCATTACCGTCACGGCTGATATCCGGGGCCGTGACCCACAGGAGGCGTTGTTAGTGGGAGCCAAGCAGGGTCTGGCGGTGCTGGATAGGAAAACGGGCCAGTACGAGTATGTGACCAAGTTTGAGGACGAGAAGGGCGACCGCATCCGGAGCAACGATGGCGTGGTTGACCCGAACGGGCGATTTTGGCTCGGTACCATGACCGACTTCAACAGGGGCCCATTCCAGCCTGAAGGTGAGTTTCCTGTTTCCGTTATGCCTTTTGGGGGTTGAGGATTCGCTGTTTGGCCCTTGCTTGTTGTCTTTTGAGCCTTGGGGTTTCATCAGTCAGATACGTGGCGAGCTGCCAGGTTTCAACCCAGGGAAAGGGTCACAGCCACATCACTTGGAGACGAACACATGCATGGTTATGGTGAAAGGGATGTTGATGCTAGGCGTCACCTCTTTTTTTTCTCCAGCAATCTGTTGCCGTTGTTTTCTTCCGCACATTCACCTGTTACGTTCTCAGCCATGCCATGTGGCCTGATGTACTTCTCCTGCAACCCACAGCTACTCGCTTTGGGCCAATCATGCTTTCTACTTTGCCAAATATTTTTTTATCTGCTTCGCTCGCGTAACGACCACTGGACTCACACCCCATTTCCCTTTTTTTCTTGTGCATCGATAGGCTCCCTCTACCGCTTCACCCATGGCACCGCGGCGACTCGTACACGCTCCGGGCTCACCATCCCCAACTCGGTTGGTTTCTCTCCGGACGGCCGCACCATGTACTTTACGCACTCGACAGCACGCGAGGTGATTGCCTGGGACTACGACGAGAGCGGCGAGGTGTCCAACGAGCGCGTCTTCTACCGCCACGTCGGCCAAGGCGAGCCCGACGGCTTCCGCGTGGATACCGAGGGCAATCTGTGGCACGCCGTGTACGGCGAGTCGCGCGTACTCAAGATCTCTCCTGCCGGCGAGCTCATCGGCGAGGTCAAGATCCCCACGCGCAACGCCACCTGCTGCGAACTGATTGGCGGTGGCGAGCTGGCTATTACCACTGCTGGGGATGATGAGGGCGAGGGTGAGAGCAAGAGGCTGGGTGGTGCTGTTTTCCGTGTTCAAGTCGGGGCTGAGGGTACGGCGCGGTATGCCTACAAGCTGTAAGCTGAGAGCTGGCAGTGTCCGTGGCTTTGGCTCCGTGGGCGAAGGCTTGAAGCGAGGGATGAGTTGAGATCTGGGATCGGGGGACCGGGGCTGCTCCCAAAAGCTGGCAACCCTGTCAACGGTTGAACGGTAGTCACGAGGTCAAAGGGATTGGTGGATAAGCCGTTATGTGAGCGGCAGGTCCCGGGTGACACCCGGTTGATAGTCGAGACATGCGTTTCGAAACGGGACACATACATAGTGCTGCACACCAAATGTGTACTGTGCAGTTACCTAAACAGAGTGCCATGGCAGCATGGCCCGCTGAATACGGAGGATGAATCAGTCCCTCTGATTCAGGTGTAAGCAGTGTCTTGTTGTGTTTGCCATTGGATCTTCGGCGGCGTGAAGCATGCCCCGCAATGACACCGTCCCGTTGCGTCCCTCTTCTTTTTCACCCATGGTATGCCTGTCAAGTCTGTCAAGCCTGTCATCAGTTTTTCTTTAGGGTGGCGGAGTCCGCTGGGAGAGTGACCTGGATCTGCATCTGATGGAGTCAGTCCGCACATCTGAAGTGGATGGGCACCACTTACACACCACACCACAGAGTACATGTCCTATCCCTGTTGACCATCCGCCCCTCCTAGGAGACAAGCGCGGACACGACTGGCTGGTGAGATACACAGCAACACGAAGGCTTTGGTTCCAAAAAAGATCCATGTCCCGGAAAATGGTCCGATTCTTGAGCCATTCAGAGACCCTTGAATCGTCTTCACCGCTCTCCTCCGAACCGAAGACAGGGGACGAAGAGGCGGGGTGTTGATTGAATGAGAGCGGGGTGGGGGGTGACGATGGGGGCTGGGGCACTCCCCAAGATGACGGGCACAATGTTTTTGATTCCGTTCGGGATTACGCTGAGTAGTTAGTTAGCATGCCTTGTTTGGCCCCGTGGGAACCCGAGCGCGAGATGATCATGGTGAGGACCATGTTAGGCTGGAAGACCGGATTCAGCCACTCCCGCTCGCTTCAGGAACAGCCCCTCCTCAGTGATGGGGCGTGATTTTGATATGCCATATTATCAACCCCTCGGCAAACCGCTGGCCGTTGAATCAACGGTGATTCAACGGCTCGAGGTCCTTGGGGGTTTAGAGGGGTGTAGTTTGCTTGGGACAAACGAGCAACTTGTCCCCCCCCCCCCTCTGTCTCGTGAGAATGGGAGCTGCGTTGCGGTCATCCGGGAAAGTTGCCATCCGACACAACTCTCGCCATGGGCCGGCTGACGTTCCGGGTGGCAAAATGAATGTGATCTTCACGGTTTGAGGAAAGTTTGTTAAGCTCATGAGGGACTCCTTGGCGCCAACGGGGGGAAGAGGACCAGGGAAAGGAAGCGAAGGACTGCCCCATCGAAGTACCTCGTGATGACGGTTAGTCACAGCGGTCAGAGTTTTGGTTGGGAAGGGACCTCGTGGGGGTTACCGAATGGGCCGTTTGTTTTTGTGGGAAACGACGCATTAAATTCATGTTCTGCTTCGATAAAATCATAATTTTTTATCGTTTGATATTTATAACCGTTGCTGGCGGCTGCTAGGTTTGAAGAGGAAGGAGGAAGATTCCGTGATCATTGATGCGCAGCATGCGCTCACAGCCAGGTCCGCGCCCAACATTTAGGCCCCTCCGACGTCTGGCTTTAGGCCCTCAATCTCAAAATTTCATCAATGGGAAAACCGCATGGCACCGAGTGTGTGTGGGCGAGAGAGCATCCTCGACAATCCTCATTTTGGGCATCAACCCAATTTATTGGACTGGGACCCTGGGCAGCGAACCAAGCCCTTGGTTGCGACCCAATGGGCTTCTTCGCGTCTCGGATCCTCTTCGAACAGGGGATCAAAGGCGCCGCCGAATGTTTGGGAACCTTCTTTCGCTTCGATGGTTTTGTGCGGACTCACATGTCACCAGCGATACTGTACTGTGATTGATGCCAATTTGAAATGAAGAGGAGCCTCGTACCCCGGTCATTAAGGTGACCTTCCGGAGAAAGTCGCAAATTTCAAACATCCGACCACACTTTCGAAATGACCTCGAAGCTCACGAAGAAAGTTCCTCGGAAAACCCGGCCTCTTCGGTCCTATTGCCTTGGATGTCGTTTCCCCCCTTGCAATCTCAGCTTTCAGGTTGCCCATCCGCCGGTTGGCCTGCCTGCCGGCAAATCAATCGTGGGGGACCGAGCAGTCAAGAGAGACGGGAGCAAGCCACCAGAGGTTGAATGAGGGGTATTTTGTATCATATTATAAAATTGCGAAATTGAGAATTTGGAACCAGGAAAGAAGGCCCAGTCTGTTGACCCTTGGATTTCGTTCGATTGATACTACTAAGTAATTAACGTTAACTATAACTATAACTACTAATTCATTAGCATCATGAAGGGAAACAGAACTTAAAGTCTGTCATGAGCCACAATGCCATTGTGATGTCAAGTAGTTGAAACTATCATGTGATACATGTTTTTCCGTGCTTTTTGGCATCAATAGCCATCATTGACAGTCTCAAATTCCATTGTTCCGCCCTAACGTGACCGATTGTTGTTCAGATGCAGCCTCGTTTGCTATGCAATATGGGCTATATAATGGGGGTTAGGGTTATCCATGTTCGCCCTCGGAACATCCCCAAAAATTCCCAATCGATAGTTAACTTCCTCTCGCCGGACCCGCTTCTGCCCGCACCAACTCTCACCTAAACAATGCAATGCGCCCGCCGAGAGCCCCGCGCACAATTATCATTCCGATCACGATTCATGATGGCGGACTCATTTCCACTTGGTTCTCCCCCGGATTTCGAGAATGAGAACGACGACTTAGATTCTCTTTTCGGCGGTGACAATTTCGACGACGATCTGGGAGGCGACGCGGAGGGCTTCCTGGCCGGACTTAACCCGACTTCCCACTTTATGGAAGTCGGCGCCGCTGCCGAGTCTTCGCATGCGCTCGATCGTGAGCGCACAACTTCTTTGCCGCAACGACCGCCCCAAGAGGCGACTAACTCGGTGCCGCAGCTCGCCCTCCCTGGTCGATTCGCTGAACTGACGGCCGCAAATGCGCAACCGTCGCAGCAACTGGCCCTCCCTCCCTCGGCTCCGCAACTGCCGTTGCCCACAATCCCTGATCCTCCTGCCGCCTTTTTATCGCGCCAGGACGGACACACTTCAGGCGATTTCGTGGTTAGTACCCAGAGTTTTGCTTTTAGCGCACCCGGCCCTCAACCGTCAGGAACATTGGCTGAAGAGGAGTTTGATGAAGCGGCCCTTGAAGCCGAGCTCTCAACCCTCTTCGCGAGCGATCAAGTTACCAACGAACAACCAATTAATGCTCAAGACTCAGGAAGCGGACCGAACGACGCGATTGAGGTCGACGACGATCTCCTGACGACAGAAATTCCGGGCTTCCGCTACAAAGATAGCGCCACCAACTCCTTCGTGCGTCTACCCCGCCGCATTCATCTGAATCCGAATCTCGCCGAGGAATTCAGTCACTACATAACCCTCAGTAAGACTCTTACCCCGCACTGCTTCTAGCCATTGAACCGCTAACCAAAAGTCAGATCGGAGGACCAAGGTTGACGTCCTTTACAGCCACCTTGAGCTGTCCGTCCCCGAGGGCAAACGTTTTAGCGACGAGCTCAAGAGGGCTCTCAGAGAACCACACCTGGTAAAATACATCGAGCACCCCAACTCGCGCGGCCTAGACACCAAGAAACTCCTCATTAGGGTTGGCCTTCATCTGCTCGTGGAGCAAAACTGGGGCCGCACTTGGTTCCGCCAGAACAAGCAGGGAACGCCGCAAAGGAAGTACGTGTGGCCAGAAAACTCGACAGTGTAAGTGCAACCTTCGCCCCAGATGCTACGACCGTGCTAATGATGCTATCTAGGCTCCTTGCTGGGCTTGTTATGCTCCTATATCGAGTATACACCAACCAGAAGCAGATGTATCAGATCAGAGTGCGCGCCGAGGCCTCAGTCCAAAGCCAGGTTCAGGCCCAGATGGCAAACTCGGGCGCCGCCCCCTCGCCGTCGATCTCGGCCCCGTCTGCACCCGCCGCGTCTACGCCCGCCTCCCCGCCGCGGGCCCCGTCCACGTTCCTCCCCCCTACACCTGCTCCGCTGCAGACCCCGGCTACTTCGATCCAAGCGGCCGACACATCCCAGAGTTTCCCCGCCGCCTCCGAGGGCCAGTCCTTCTTTCATGCCCTTTCCAAAGATGTGACCGTGGGCAAAAAGCGCAAGCATACTGAGGCGCTGATGGGCTTAGGCGAGGAGCAGGAAAGCGAGCTGGTGGTCCCGGCCAACGCTAGGCTCAAATACTACATCTACGTCAAGGACAAGGCGGATGCTGTCGATTTTATGCCGCCCACCATCTATCGACACACCGATTTCATGATTTCCCGCGGTGCGTTTTCGAGCCTCAAGGCCGCCTTCGAGGCCGACGGCCACGCTCCCGAGTGCGTGATCCAGACCCCGCATGGTCGAAAGAAGATCAACACAGAGGAAGAGTGGAATGCGGCAGTATTGAGCATTTACGAAAGGAGGCGCTCGGGTGGGGTAGTTGAGGTGGACGTTTATGTTTGAGATAGCCCCAAGGCCGCTTTCTCAACACGGAATGAGGGTAACCTCAGGAGGACATCTGTTTCATGGAGTTCGGTTTGGTAGAAGCATGGCGCAACGGCTCATTAGAGATACCTAGGTTTCGGACATGGGGTATTAGGACAACGAGGCACGCAGATAGAAGTTGAACGCTAGAGGTCAGAAACCGAGAGGTATTTTGCCCACGTTTATGAAGCCACGATTCGAACAGTACCCTCTAAACAGTGATAAATGCTGAACACTCTTTCTCGGGCGGGAAGAGTGAAAACATAGCTCGTGTCGTTATCCACCGCGATGCAGCGGTTATCCCACCCACAGAAAATCATTCGCCGAGCGAGATCGAAACTAATTATCATGCGGTCCCTCAGCCGATCCCAATAAACAAGCTTCCTCGATGGCTCAATACCCTCCGCCCAGACTGGCCAATCTCGTGCCTATTGTTTTCTCAGGGCACACACATTATCAAGACGTCATAGGTATCTTAGATTCCCCGCCCCAATTCAAGTATGACCGTGGCGACAGCGCAATGCTCGACCAGATCAACAACCTCCGTTTACGAAATCTCTCGCGTTACAGATGCCACGGCGACTAGAATCACGAGCTTACCCAGGCCGATCTTGTCGACGGGCGTAGCAACAAGTCGCTCAATAATCATGGTCTGGAACTGTGACCTCCGCCTCGACTTTTTTCTTTTCCAAGCTTGAGAATCCTCACTTGCGCGGACGCCCATCAAGCATGGCCTCCCATGTCGCTCAATTACCAGAGCGTCATCCATCACAGAGGTCGACTTTTTGGACGCCTTGGAGTGGAAGGAAACGTATCTTTTATTAAGCTCCGTGATTCAATTCTCCAACTTTCCTTATCAGCCCCTTTGATTATCATTGCCTCCTATGTTAACCCATACTGCTACTGCTAGGACTGCGGATTTCTCTCCTCTCGGCCCTCATTGACATTCTGCGGGTTGCATCTGTCCTCAACAAGGACAGTCGGGATTTCCCGTCGCGCCAGCTCTATGCAACCCACGAGTTATCATCAATTATGCCGACTCCCACCTTCGAACTTCTCGCTGAACGCGTACGGTCGACACATAGCGCACGGTAGCAGAATAAGGGGATCCCGAATCAAGGCGAAGGCGAGCGAATCGCATACAGCGGGGTTTCTTTTATCTCTGGATCACAGCCGGTTTTCTGAAGGTCATAGCCCCGTTTTCCCTTCCAACACATCCAACATGCCAACACATCCAACATGCCAACACATCCAACAACGTTTCACACCCGTTATTTTCTCTTCGGCCTCTCCTAAAGCACTATTATCTAGGAAGCCAAGACAAATAGTTAATAGGCCTCTAAATGCCACTTTTTGAAGTAGACTACAACGAAAAGCGGTAATTACGTCGCGGGGCATTCGCGTTTATTTCCTCCCCACACCCTGACATTTCTCGAACGCCCTTCCGCACTTAACACCGCAATCACCAAATGCAGCCTCAAGAAACGTCGGAAGTGATGGATGCGGACACAATCCAGTCCAGCATTACATCTCCCGTGGAAACTAACGCCCCACAAGCACCAGAGCACGTCCGAGTTCGAGCCGTAGTACACCTCGGCACACCAGGCGATGTTCATTGTGGTCGTGGAGTCAATCAAGCGCTCGATGTTATCCGCATTTTGGATGACCACAGCATTCCTAGCTGCGTTGTAGGGGTCAAAGCGCTTGTCTATTATGGTTCCTACCGTGTTCCGATAGTAAGTCGCCCTTCAAATAAGCCCATACAGCATGATTCTAATAGACACCCCTAGGACTGGGAGATCTGTGTCCCAACTGAGCAGTTCGACCAGGCCATTGCCCTCTTTACCTCCAGCCCCCTCACCGAAACCTACGAAGTCTGACATCCCATACAACCGCAACTCCGTTCCCTCGTGCACACCTACCCGCATTTCCACCTCCGGGGCGTCGAGTTCTACTTCATCCTCATGCCCACCTTCGATTGTCTCGTCGACCCCAACCCAGACCTGTGCGAAAAAAGCCACAGCGGCATTCCCTACCCCAAACTGGAACCCTTTGCTCGCAGCCTACTTGGCACCCAGAACTACTCCGACCTTGAAGACCTCATCGACGCGATGGATCTGACCGCGGAGTGGGGCAACGAGCACCTGCCTCTAGACGACCCGCCAGATAGAGAGTACCTGGAGAAGAAGAACGCCATGTTTGAGGCCGCGTTGCCGGAAGATTTGCCCGGGGGGAGGCTTGGGTTGTTGTCGCTGTCGCCGAGGCCGCGGAGGGAGTGGGAGAAGATGGTGAGGGGTAAACAGCGCCGGATCGGGGATGAGACGCCAAGGGAGCGGTTCATTACGCGCTTTCGGAAGGTTGGGTCGAGTGATCCGAGGGAGAATACGAGGAGGGAAGTGTAAAGGTGGGGGGTTACAGGTGAAGAAATGTTGAGCATGAATTAACGCAATAGAATGGTGGGCTATGGCACTGTGTACGTTTGCTAAGTCGTGGTGAAAGTGAGTAGATATGAAAACAACCCACACACCTTTCTTCTCGGTTCGATGGACTACATTCATTTCCATGTCAAAGCAAATAAACTGTACTGGGACTGTTGGACGCCTAGTGGAACCAGTTATGAGGTAAAGTGCTCAGTCATTAAAGCCAACCAAGCAGGGTCTAACAGCCTATAGGCAGATGTACTTATAAAACGGCTTTTCCTTTTCAATTTCACGTTCTCACCTATCTTGCACCTCTCAAAACCTCTCAGCAGGGCGTGCCTTGGATGCTCGTCGGATGGCCCTCCAGACCGGGCCAAATCGCTTCTCTTGGGCCCTAAACTTGCATATGGTGGAGTGGTTGCCCCCGAGCATCATGGCTTCCTCGTTGGGCAGTCCCAACACCGCCGAGGACTTGTCAACAATCTAATCGACGTTTCATCACCGTCAGCTGATAGCACAAGACAAGACGAATAAGGGCACCTGGGTTAGATTAGAATAAGTAGAGCCCCGGACAACGGACCGCTGGCATTTACTGTGGTCACAACCAGTGAATGGGATATTACCGAGACAGCTGCTATTGTATCCTTAGACGGCGCTGAGGTGATCTCTAATAGAGCCTTGGATAACGGACTGCTGGAATTTACCAGGGGGGGTAGAATTGCAGGCGGCGGGGGACCGCTTGCCGATATAGACGGAATCGTGTCTTTGGAGAACGCTAGTAATCCTACTGATATGCTTAGCGATTGTGGATTTACTGATATAGTTATATCCTCGAACGATGGTGGCCGGGCGTTTGTTAAGATGGCGACAGTCACTTGAGGGGATGATATTAGATGGCCGTTTTATGATATTACGATGGAGACTCAGGGTAGCAGATAGGCGTTTCGTGATATTATAATAGAGGCTTGGGGCAGTATAACGGTGTAACGGATCGGCTCTCAACCACACTCTGAAAGGGTTCACTAAAGGTATGACGTAAGGGTTGTGATCCGGTGAAGCCAAAAGGTTCACAACAAGATA